CAGCTCCCAAGTTTTAGGAAGAAGTCCGTGATTTAAGCGAGCTGATTGGCCGATTGCGGCACACAGGGATTTGCGCCACGGAGGGATGGACGTTATATCAGTTTCATACCAGGCACTCAGCACCTACACATGTTAGGTTTCGTACCAATGGGTATTTTCGTGGCACCGATCTGGGGTTTCGTGATTGTGGGAAGACAACTTGTTGAGTGGGGAAGCTGTGTGTCTTTGTACTGAGATGGCAATACCTTTGTTACGAGATACGATCTTTTGTTTTATTTTATCTGGAGCTACTAATTGTATAATGTAATTCAATTCAATAACGCCGTTTCTATGCCATCCCTTATTTTCAGTGCCACCGAAAACTCCTCAAACTATGGAAGAATGACAATACATAACCTTCGCCCCTTTGAGAACCAGTCACTTTTTGACGTAAACACCCACTCCCACCTCACTTTTTCTCCTCGGTTGCCTTCTTCTCGGTCGCCTTTTCCTTCTCCAGCTTTTCTAGAGCCTCCCTAAGACCATCACGCTCGCTCCTAAGCTTTTCTGAATCCTGAACAACCTCGTCGACGATATTATTGATAGCTTCAATCTGCTTTCGAAGCTCAGAAGCCTCAGTCATCATAGCCTCGTGCTCTTTCTTCAAGCTCTCAGCCTGTTTCTTATCGGCGGTAGCGTCCGCGCTGCTGTCTTGCTGCGCTTTCGAAGTCTCCTTCGACAGTTTCGACAGCTGCTTGGCTTCCTTGAGTTCGGCTTTCAGCGCTTCAGTGACATCGTTGTGTTTCTTGCACAAGTCGTCCTTCTCCAGCATCCATCGCCTTCTATCCGCAATACCCTGGTCTTTCTTTTCTTGCTGGAGAGTCTCGATTTGCTTCGTAGCATCGTGGAGGGCTTGTTCTAAGTCGCTGATTTGTGCAGGTAGAGTACGGAGCTGCGCAAGTTCGGCTTCTTTTTCTTCGCAGAGCCGGTAGTTCGCCTCCATAGCTTCGTCTTTTTCGTTATTGAAGAACGCGTTGCGCCAGTATTGGATCGAGAAATCCTTGTCGTTCAAGGACTCTTGGTATTTGGGATTAACATCTTGCGCGTAGTGCTGGTCGAATTGATTCTTGATATCCTCTACCATTTTTGGTTTTTCGGCCTCCAGTTCCTGGATCTTCTCCAAACAAGCTATTTTCTCCGCTTGCAGTTTCCGCAAGCTGTCCTCGTTGGCTTCGAGTGATTTCTTTCTATTCTTCACCAATTGCTTGAGGCTTTCTTCATCAGGTGTCGTATCGTTGTCCTTGAAGATGCCAAGGCACTCGAGCATGGCATCTCTCTTCTCAACGCTTTCTATCAAACGCTGCATTTCTTGCCTACTTCTGTCCAGGTCTTTGAACATACCGCAAGCTTCAGCTTCCATCTCCTGTTCCGATTTCTTGTCTTTTGCAGGATCGATCTTCGTCTCCTCAATTTGGCCTTCAGCTGCAGGTAGTTTGATGATTACAAAGCCTGATCTCAACGCCAGATATAGCATACTCAAGATGATGACTGGTAGAATCAACATCGCCCAGCCGGTCCATGCTTGAAATTTGCTTTTCGGCTCATATAGCGCTACTTCGGTGCAGCATTGTGTTGGATTTACGGGTAGGGCCGCTGATTCAGTTGGATAGTGTGCCCATGCTGTACCTTGTTGCTCTTGGGTAGTAGCATCCACTATAAGAGTGACGGTTTCTGTTAATGTAACCGGTTCTGGACGCAAAGTCGAGAAAGGCTTCCATACAACTGGTTTTAGAGGCAGGGTCGATATGGGCGTAAATGTAGCCGGTTCCGGAGGCAAGATCGACGTAGGCTTCAATATGGTCGGTTCCGGGCTCAAGGTCGCTATTTGAGTTGCGCCGACTCTTGGGATAGAAGCACGTTGCTTAGCTAACGTCAAGCCTACGGCTGGATCCCAAAAGTATCGAACGCCCGGGAAGTTGAGGACCACATTAAGAATGGCTGCGAGAAACACATCATTCTGGAGAATGAATCCCAGCATTTCTCTCTCGTCCTATGTCGTGATTTGGGCAGAGAAATGTATGTGGTAATACGTGGTTTTGCACAAATAGGGTTGCGCGTTCAGAAGAAGCTATGTTGATATGTGTGCAATGATGTAGATATAGTATCTTTTAAAAAGCACGTAGGTGTTTGAAAGTTGTTGTCTGGTATCTGACAAAGAAAGCGCGGAGCACAATGCATCACGAACAATAGGGAAAACAACATAATGAGAGACAAAGAGACGGTGAATAGATATGATTTTGAACAACAAAGTGAATGTGAGGTGAGGGGAAACTCGCACAATCGTCTATGGTGACCTCTTTACGTTCGTAGTCTTCCTCTTTCACTAGTTGTTTGTACAGTGTATCTTGAAGCCTTTGACAGGCAATAGTCTACTAGCGATCCGTGGTTCGGCCGGGAACGACGGGCACAGCCGGTCATTTGCGATCCGAGCTGACATAACAAAGATGTCTCGGCACGTAGTCTTGTTAATCCCACTGCTAGTTGGGTTTGTAGTAGACGTGACATGTGGAGTGTAAGTCGGATGGATGTATCGAGAGTGAACCTGGGGTTTCTCGCACGAAGCAACGTGTGGTGACGCCTCCGAACTTGAGCGTTGTGGGATCAGATACTCATTCTAATGTGATTCATCACTCAAAAGTTAAGCTGCATGCGAAAGTCAAGGCAGCGTAAGTCGACGAAGGAGCGAAGGATTTCTCCACATGATGCTAAATCCCATTCTGGACTAGGGTTGAATCGTGCACCCCAGCGCGATTCGTGTTGGAACCATCACACGACACCACACAACACCACACATCAAGATGCACGATGACGGCAGATTTATGATCGGCTTCACCTTGTGCAGCCTTGTCGATCTCGTAGACTTGAGGCTCTCAACTTTGCCACAACACCCAGTCACATCATGTCCCCCGCCCATAGACGCAACACCCCGAACAAAGGTGACATACGCCTCCAGGGCTCAGCATCCTTTTCGCGTATACCAAAGAATATCAGCGATACCTGTTTTGCAATGAGGTGTTTCTATTAGCATTGTTAACGTGGTCTTGTCCAGCCATAAAGATCGGAGACCCCAGTGCATCAGTCCACATCGCATATTGCTTGCCTAATTGGGGTATGTTAACCCGCCCACAAAAAATCTCTCCACACGGCACTGTGCATCCGTGTCGGATAAACATTAACAAATTACCAGAACATGGCACCAGCAGTCCCGGTCTTGAGACCCTTAACCTGGGGTAAGGCGAGCTTGGTGCCTATCGCCCGTCTACTCCACTTCTGTCTGATGAATCCGCGGCCCTTCTAGTCAGGATATCGTTAGCTACAGTCGCCACGGGCTGCTTATCGTAAAAGAACTCTTTCTCGATCCTTCAGGAGATTGGCCTGCCTGGAAAGACATACCAATCTGCAATAGTCTAGCCGCATACCCGCTCGCTGGGACGTACTAAAGAGCTGGGGGACACGAGACCGCGGCTGTTTTTCGGACGGCCTTGATTTCTCTTACTACTTGCGGTTCCTCAGACTTGCTTCCTCCGCCTTCCGGTTTAATGCGCAATTCATACTTCAACATGGCACCAACAGCTTCAGCGACAGCAGCGTTACCTACACTGACCCAAAGTGGTGCGCGAGTCGCCCTGCAAGCAGCAGAGCAATATGCCATTGAAGTTGGGGTACCAATGTATGACCCCTCTTTTTCACTAAACACATGACTTGTGCGGAGTAGAGCTGACAACCGATCAGGAGCATCGCCGTAGTTGACGCCCACACCCATCTCCTGTCGTTCACACGCATGGATGGCGCCAAGATTACCTCCATAAATACTGCCATGGACATGGCTTTTACCGCCGCCGGAAACCGAATTCCCACCTCCGCATACCAAGAAACACCATGGCCGGGCAGCGCCACATCTGGCATTGGCAATGCTATTTCGGGGCGCTTCACTACACTCGGTGGCGGCGTACCCATTCTGTCAGTAGAAGGCGACATACTTGGCGCAATTGGCTGCTCGACGGGCACGAGCATGCAAGATGAAGCTGCGGCGAAAGCGGGGCGAGACGCGGTGCTTGAACTCATCAGAAAAGAGAAGGAAGCAGAAGAGGCAAGACTACACGAGGAGAGGCAGGCCGTGCTTGCGTTGTGGAAGGAGAAGGAAGAGGAGGTTGGTAACCTGAGAGAGGAGCTCGAGGTCATGGACCGCAGCAGTAAGAGAATGAGGTTCGACGGTGGCCGATCAGGCAGCGCAAGCGTCGCCGGAAGTCTAGCGGGCAGAAGAGCGAGCACACAAGGTGGACTGGCGCCAGACACGCCGCCTGACGAGATCGAGCTGCATCCCAGTTTTGTTGGCGAGGTTTCTGTCGGACGGTACTAAGCGATACGTTTTTGTTTGCCTGGTTTTTGGCGTTTTGGCGATGACGATGTCACGATTTCACGACTCTGATTTTCGCAAGGGGCATGGCGTTCCTGAATTCACGAAGCACATGTTTGGGCCTGCAATAATTACTGGCGGAAAACTAGGCGGTAGTTTGTTGTTCGTGCATAGGAGGCGCGCGCTGGCTTTAATCTGTAGATAGTACATACGTTACATATCCAGCTGGTTTCCACGTGAGGTCTTGTTAGCTCGCATGATCCGCCCCAGGTTATCTAACCACCCTGGTAGTGTCGCGTGTTGAGTTGCCATATCAAGTCTTTTGCTCCGTCCTGGGCATTGGAAGTTCAATGATTATCATTGCCATACCCCTTTATTTGGCCAAGCGTGCATGATCGTGCAGAACCCGGTCTTTTAGTTCCAAACGTCACCTTCCTCTTTGTGGTATATCTATCCTTACTCTTGCAGCTACACTCTCCTTGTGTAACAGTACTTGGGAAGATTAGTTGGGACAGCTATCACCTTGGCGCCTGTATCCGTCCACTCTAACTCAACCTCAAGCGTGTTTTCAAAATCCGAAAGCCCTGCCTCAAGTGTTCAGGAATGACTAGGCACCATGAACTGCCTGTCCTTTGAGGTCATAGGGGTAATTTGGGATAAGTGTCTCATGAAGCAAAAGTGATTCTCAACGGGCAAGTACACGATTTCTTCTGAAAGGAGCACATTCGTGTTGCTCAGTATCACAATGAGTATTTATAACCAGATGTTGACATATGAAGACATATCTGAGTTCCCAATCTGACTTACTAAATCAGTTCAAAAGTACCAACAGCAGTCGAGCGTGCAGTACCACTTCGTGGCCCGCTTTCGTCACGGACGACCACGGTAAATTTCCCTTTTGATATAGCAACTACAACATACTCTTGTATAACTACCGCATGCTGGTTAAACAAAGTGAAGATGGGGTTACGAATGACTGACCACAAGGTACTCCGACTAAAAGTCCTCGAATACACCTCTAAACAGTGACCTGATCACGAACATTCGCCCAACCATCACTTGGAGAAAATTTCAGCAGCACACCCACCGACACCAATTGTGATTCCACTCACCGAAATCACCGCTAAACCGTAGTGCACATACAAAGAACGCCACTTCCCAAACCCCCCGGCCCCTTCAATCACAAAATCACTGCCATCACAACCCCACCTACCTCTCAAAAAAAACCATTCCAAGTACCACTCATCTCCCCATCCCGATATCCTAGCGCCACCCGCCAACGCATCCCTCCCTCGCTTTCCGAGACACAACCCGGAAATTACGCGCGTAGACCCTTCGACCAATCCGCAGAGCGCAATTCCCCGCCACGAATACGGTTCCTCGCTTGATAAGATTGCAGGGAAGAACTACTTATCTTATGATTACGCGGCGCGCGAAATGCAGGTGTAAGAAGTAAACACGGTTAGTGATTATTGATTGCTTTTGAGCGGGGAGGGGAGGGAGCGTGTGTGGTTCAGATGTATGCAGGTGGGAAAAAGGAAAAAAAAAAGGGGGGGAGGGGTTCGACCTCGCGATACTACCGTGGTATGTGACTTAATGATTATGTATTGAGGGAAGAGAGAGATGGACATGATATGGTAATTGCAATTGATTGAGTAAGCGGGGTGTCAGTATGAAGATGAGAGGCAACACTGGAGGCACAAAAGCAAATAGAGGAAGAGAGAGTTGGAAAAGTCATTTGCAGACCAGCAAAAGATCAAGGTTTTCTAACTTTTCCCAGGTCATATCATAATCGAATCGTATACTGTCGTGAACCCCTCCTCTCCTTCTTCAAAAAAAGACATTCAATCCCGCAAAGCATGCTGAGTGGGTAATCAAACCACGCCCCAGACCCTGTCTAGCCCTAATATGTATCATGGTAGAATCGAACAAAAAGCCAAGCGATTGCAATCGCGATCAAGAAGAAGGACAAAAAAGCGTCAACGCCGCAAGCATCACCGATGCGCGTTACAATCATCTGCCTATGCAGGTTTAACCCTCAAGGTCAATAGCGACACGGCCAGCCACACTCCTCTTGAGCGAATCCTCGCCCGAGCAGACAGTCATGTGGAGGTCAACATCGGCAGTCGGGCAATCAAACACGGGCTCCTTAAGTCCCAGCTTGATGAGGGGTGTATCGACATAGTACGCCTGGGTAGGACAATAATCGCCAGCCGCACAGTCCGCAGCGCTGCACTGGTCATCGGTACCGCGCATAGCCAGACCCTCAGCGTGACCGGGGCACGCGGAGGCAGAGTCGCCCTCGGCGCAGTTGACAAAGGAGATGTCGTACCAGATCTTGCCGCCGGCGATGGAGTACTCGAATTGGGTGTGCTCGCCGTTCTTGATGCTGTCGGTGGAGGAGATCTTGAGGGAGGTGCCCGTGTTGTAGAGGACCTCGGTGTATTGGGTGCGGGCGGGCACAAGGGTGCAGGGGGTTTGGTGGGTGCCGCCGACGGAGGAGACCCAGATGTCGTAGGAGCAGCGGTTGGTGAGGATGGCGTTGCCGGCGAGGGTGAGGCCGGCGTTGAGGGCCATGAGGAGGGTGGTCTTGGAGAACATGGTGACGTGGAGTCGGTGGGTTTTGGTCACGTGGGATGTGTGTGAGAGAGAGAGTGAGAGATCAACTCAAAGGATATCCTGATTCGTAATCGAAGCGGAGGACGAATGAGTGCTGGTATGTGGGTCTTCGGGTTGAAGAAGAGAGTGTGGGAATTTTTTTTCGTGAGTTTGCCGGAGGGACTGTAAGGGAAGCTGTCAAAGCCTCTGGGGAGAACAAGGAATGTGTTGCCGAAGGCGACGGGGGAAAAGAATGTTGAACAGTGTTCGTGATTTCAAAGGGTAAGATTCCATGGCAATCCTCCCTCTTTTATAAAAGAAGTATGCACGGCGAAGGATTAGACTAAGACTAGCTCCAGCGACCCAATACTCAGTGACCCCCTCCCACCTTAGGCAGCGCCCGCGAATTACGTGAAACGTTGAGGGCAGAAAAAAAAACTTTGACCAAGTCCGGCGACGGCGGCAGCGGAAGCGTTTTCGCGGTGCAGTAGTGCTTTCAGCGCTTCAACGTAGACAGTGGAGACGGCATTGTAGGACTGTGGTTGGCCAGGTACCAGGGTGGTGGCAGTTAGCCTAGACGTATGATGTAAGGAGATGCGTGGGCCTAGAATCTTGGGTTCCGGTTTTTTGCATGTTTCTTTTTCATCTGATGGTACCTTTGTGCTGGTGGCGCGAACTAAAGCAAGGGACAAGTGGAATTTGTCGTGGCTATGCTCAGCTGGGCCTGGCTTACCAAATATTTTTCTTCTTGATAGCATTCAGAGTCTCTTCCCTTGGGGGATCGGATCCCTTTTTCCTGGCAAACTCAATGTGTGGACATGTCGGGCAGTTTACGGGCGAGGGTTTATATGGCCCGATTTGTGCTAGCCTAGCTGCATGCCCTGTGTATGTCCTGGAGCTACACGGTACTAGCAGCCGGACTAGAAGTGCCCAGGTGATGAGGTAGGGATTACAGCGTCCGGTGGTGTAGCGTCCTGAGCCGGACTTGGAGTATGCAAGGCAAATTGGAATCCTGCCTTGGTAGTGGTAAGGGTCTGGGTGAAGAGCCACGCAGACCCGACCACGTTGCTAGCGAAGCAAAAAAGCCGCGGTAGTGGGCATGTATGCGGGAATATCATCGATAGTATCAATATTGTGCAGCGGGGCAGTCGGGGGAGCGGTGACTGGACTCGGGCGTGGATTTGCCACGTACCTGAATGATGGCCGTTGGGGGCGCAGGATGCGTGAACGGGTGTCCGGGTACCTGGCGCGGCACACGGTACCTGGACGTGCCAAGCCACCATGCAGCTGCAACCAGCCGTCGCCTTTTGCCATTCGCCGGCAAAGGTCAACATCTTTTGAATTTTCCCCATCCGGTTTCTTATCGCTCTTGTTTCTTCGCTGTCCGACGCCACGTACTCTGCTGTTCTGCAGCTACATATTTAATGAGCCTCCAAGTTGAAGCCCGCTGCGTCGGCGGCGTCTGAGGTGTCATCAGCGGCATACCTACCCACCCGACTACTGCCTACCTGTCGGCGGATACTAGAGTAGACGCCCTTGCAACCCCACGAGCAAGCCCATTGGGCGGCAGATGAATCAACACTCGACTGCGGAGCCGGATGGAGAGCAGAGAATTTTCGTGGTCCACGTCCCCAGTCTGGGCCGGGCTGCACGCGTCATAGTGCGATTCCCGCGACGGGCTGAATGCACCACCGCTTGGCCTTTTGAGCAAGACCTGATGTCACCGCATGCAGCCTACGCAACCAGGCAAGCCTAGGACCGCTTCCCCAAGGACCGAATGCATGTGAAACAAGACAAGACACGGAGAACCTGTCAACCACACCGGCACGCATACGGAGCCAGAGCCGTACTTACGCGCTGCACCATGGCGCCGGTGAGGATGCGCCACTCCGCCCAGCTATCTAATCGATAGGAGTTTTTCTTCTCCACGTTTGTTTGATGTCCATGGCGTTCGGCGATCAGCACCATCCGTTGCGTAAGCATCTTGCATCCGCGTAAAGAATCTGTTGCAATCCTCCCGCCTGTCGCGGAAGCGGGGAAACATGTTCACATACGCAGCGGCAACGGATGCGGCAGGTGTGCGTGTCCATGTTCGGAGTGTTCGTGGCGGACAATGGGACTTGACAAAGCAACATTCAACAAAGGGACATACAGCCGGAGACCAACAAAAGAGCGGCGCATCCCAATGGCGCTGTTATACACATGTGCCAGGTCCTTAAGTATCCATACCAAGTCTGATCAACAAAGCCTTTGACTGCAGATGCGGTGGGCCCCGTGAGGTAGTATCGCAGTCAGGCTCGTTTCCGACTTCGCAGTATTGTGGAATGGACGCGCAAGACATGCGGCCTCGAATGCATCCAGACCACAACGTTACGTTTCACTCCAGCCTGTGGCCTGAGGATCGGGACGCAGTTGGCGCTTCATCTGATGCTGGCTCGAGTACGAGCAAACAGACTGGTGACGCAACAGAGCGGGCGAGAAATTAGACGGGATTAAGGCGCCTCTCCGCTATACTCTCATTACTTGCAGCGGTAATTTTGCAACATATCGCGTTAGGGCAAAACTGGCAGTAGAGAAATAACAAGAAATTTCAACCCCGGCCGTCGGATGATTGCTTACAATGCGGCTCATCAAGCTCAGCCCGTGCAGACTCATTGCACGTACGAGTACTCATGCTCCATGACCAATGCCAAACAAAAAAAAAGCCCTATGGGCCGGCTTAGATGCCCAAGTGCACTCGGATGAGGCAGGTGTCTAGGCATAAGAAAATGGTTGGTGATACAGGGGGACGCCTCGGAACACGAATACCATGAGACGCTGACGATGGCGGGTGTCGCCCACGACCACACGATGCACTGCCGTGGCGGGAAGCCTGCATGTTTCCCCTCCTTCATGGTTGAGCGTTACAAACGGGATCTACGTTGGTTTTTTCTTCTATCCGTTGTTTCGTAAGTAGACCCTCGCCGTCTGCGATTAGTCGCCATAACCCCTCCCTTTGACAACAAGTTGCTTGACCAGTCTCGAATCTTCAAACTGCCAGAACAAAGCCCCATTGTCGACTGTTTTCGGTCAACGGAACGGAGCAACTGTGCACCACCGGCGGCCGAGCTGTCTGTTTCTGCGCCCCGATGCACAAAGTTTCTGTACGAAGGCCAGGCGAGCAAGCCATAGCTAGGCGAGCAAGCCATAGCTGGGTGAGGGGACTAAGGAAATATCTGAAACGTAGCCCGGCGAGAACACCCCTACCCGCCAGGGGACACGTGCGCACTGGCAACCGTGTCTACGTCTTGCCGCTCCTGGGCTAGTCTTCAGCCTGGAATGCCATGGCGGGTGGTTTTATGAGAGCCCAGTGCGCCCAGCCCAATCATTGGACGTGCTGCCCCTGACCTTGGCCATGTCCAGCCGCGACGTCGACAATCACCCTCGAAGCGCCAGGCAAGCAAAGCGAACACAGCGCAAAACTACTCTTGTACGTCGTGTGACGCGGATGACCTGCAGCTGCCGTAAGAAAAGCGCTTGATGGAGACACGGAATTTAGCCCTGTCAGCCAATACTGGTGCGCCGCGCATCGGACTCCAAAACCCCCTGGTCACCCGCGTGGTCTTAGGTCGCTCTAGGGGATGATGAAATGAAAGGATCCGAGCGGCGAGGTTGGCAGCAAAGACCCGCCTAAGACGCTCTAGCTCTAGGCATTGGCAAATCTGCGGAGGGGACGGGGCCGTGGGCGGACCTGCGATGGCGCTCGTTCTCATTTCCAGGCCCATACCCGCTGCACAGCGCCCGTTCGCTTCCTTTAGCGCCATGTTGTATAAATGTAGTCTATCCCCTCACTATAACAGCCCTTCCTTTGATACCCCAGGTCTGCGACTTCCAGGTTCGACGCCAGTCTTTCAGTCTGTATACATTGTCAGTCTTTGACACCACGTTCTCTACCGCCCTACGGCATAACCACGCTCTCTTCGCAAACATATAACCAAAAACCCGTCGACCGTCGAACCCTTTTCGTCAATTCCCCCAAATTCATACCTATCCAGTCAAATCCAAATCACACAAATCTACAAACATGCGTTCCTCCATCGCCATCTCCATCGCCGCCCTCGCTGGCTCTGCGCTCGCCGCTCCCTCGTACCCGGCCGCTTACCCAGCCGCCTACCCAGCCGACAAGCCCGCTGCCAACCCCAACGTTGAGGTTGTTGTCGAGCACGTAGTCCACACCGTCTACGTCACCGAGGGCTCCCCCGAGGCCACCCCATGCCCCTCATCAACTCCTGCTGCTACTCCCGCTCCCGCTGCTACTCCTTCCCCTGAGGCCTACCCGGCCGAGCAGCCCAAGCCCGCCTCCTCCTCCACCTTCTCGTCTGTTGTCTACGTCGAGGCTACCCCCAGCCCCTACCCTGAGGTTGAGCAACCTGAGCCCGCACCAGAGCCAACCCCTACTCCCACTCCCACCCCCGCTCCTGCTCCCGAGCCAACTCCCACCCCTACCCCGGTGCCTTCCCCCGCCCCAGCTCCTTCCACTGGAGGCTACATGGATGTCGTCGCCGAGTGGCGCAGCAAGCTCGGCCTCAGCAAGCTCGAGTTCTCTGCTGAGCTCGAGTCCAACGCTCTCAATGTCGTCATTGAGGGCAACGGTGTCATGAAGCACAAGCTCAACAAGGGCACTTATGGCCAGGTCCTCGCCCCTGGCGATGCTGACAAATTCGAGTACGTCTTCGTTGGTGGATGGCTCTGCGAGATGGCCAACCTTCCAGGTCTTGGAGACGCCTGCAAGGAGTTCTCCAAGGGCTGGGACTACCAGGGCCAGGTTGGCCACGCCGAGATTCTCACCTCGCCCAACTACTCCAAGATTGGTTGCAGCAACAGCAAGGGCATTTGGTGCTGCGATCTCGCTTAAGCACCATGATGCCTTTCATGAGACAAGAGAGGGGGATTCTAATGCCTCTTCTTGGGTGGTTCTTCGATTCTATTCTACTTTAGGTGACAGGGCGGCTTGGAGACCCAAACGACACGCAATGCGTAACTTTATATCAATTGCGCTGGTTCGGAACAGTATTTTCTCTTCTCCTTTGTATCTGTACATGGTACTTCGTCTGGCTTTAACATTCCCTGCTTCACACTAGGGGCGCAGTACTTGCAAGCGTTTTTAACTCTCTCTTAGTATCTACTGCGAATTACAGATTTACGAATTCACGAGCCAACCCTTTGCTTTTGCCTTCTTGTTTTCTCGCGCGTGTTGCCTTGGCCCTATTTAGTTGCGTTGTATAAAGTGAATACTAACAAACAGACGTATTATGGACCCTTTTCCCGCCCAGCTTTTTTTACCCGACTACTAACCAATCAGCGCCCGCGCACTTGGCGCCTCTAACGTTTACATGCAGTTAGAATCAAACTTCACGGCCTGCCGCGGTGCGCCACACCGCCGATCTCCTTTTTTCCCTTGTTCCTGGACCCGACAAAGGTCACGAAAACGATGGCACGAGCAAGACAACAAAAAAAAAGGCTACCAGACAAAGGAGCACCAACAAACAAGAAAAAATGTCGCAACCGACGGACAGAAAGAGAAGGGGCAAACTCGTCGCTAGTCAGCGCACCCAAAGGAGATGAAATTCCCTTCCCCCCGGCAAATCTGCAAGAGACAGCTAAACACCCCCTTCGTCGCGCGCCTCGTATTCGGGGACCCCCCCTGGTACCTGCGCCCGTGTGCGCGTGGTATGTGCCTGCCAAGTACGCGTTCCTGGCCCTAGTGTGGAAATAGCTTTCCACGGTCAAGTCGGGCCCCACCTTCCCTCCCCTTATCCCCGTCGATTCAGCGAAATTCTAGATTGACTGGCTGGAACTTAGCTGGCTCACTGACAGGATCACTTGCAGGCTGGCTCACTCGCACGCTCACTCACCAGCTCGCACGCTCGCACGCCCCCATTTTAGACATATCAATGTTGTCGGCGACGCTTCTTATCAGCAAGATTGGCACCATGATGCGCGCTTAGCACTCCTAAATAGTGGCTGATGGACAGAAAGGCGCGGGCTGTGAGTGATTTTAAGGTTTGGTTGTGCACCGCCTCAGTTGACATGGGCGAGTGGATGGTGAGGCGCGCCGGTACCTGTCTCTCTACTCTCTCTGCTGGTCGTGTTCTGCACCGACGAGGATAGCTGTGGCGATACAAGAGGAGAGGGTCTGTGTGTGTGTGTGTGTGGACTCGCTCGGCATTCTGCGTCGCATCGCAATGCGTGCGCGCAACCTTCCTTTGCCGAATCCGGGAAATTCCAACATCGGTTTACTTAGCTAACTACAATCGTTATCGGGTCGCGGTATCTAACAGCCCATTGCCGGACAAGCCGCGGTTTTTTACGGGGCCAGACAGGGGGCAGTTTGGTGCGTGATTCCCTTTCCCCCCTCCCCCCCTGGGGCTGCAACGTGGGCAAATCGAGGGAATTGTGGGCAACGTGGAGTCCGCATGAAGAAAAAGATGAAAAGCAAAAGAATGGGGTATCTGTTCCCAAGGATTCCACCGGGGAAGCGCAAAACCAAGAAAAAAGACGAATTTCCAACGGCATCGTCATCGTCTCGCTTCCACCCCCCCCCCAACATACTCAATCAAATATCATATCCCGCCCCGACATTACGCAGTAGTTTGTGGAAATTTCGTTTACGCCATGGGTGACACATTATCAGCTTTTCTATTATAGATCCTTTTCTCATCAAACCAAAAAAAACTGGCCTTGCAAGCCAGAAAATTAGAAATATTAAATGTATTTACAACAACAATAACAAAACACACGGATTTGGAGGTCGAGGCTGCACATCGTAATTTCCCGCCCGATAATGTGTGGTGTTGCGATGTGTGTGTGTGTGTGGTATGGATGCGACGACCGGTTAGGGCCGCCGCCCGTTCGCTCACCGGGTGGTACCAACGTTTTTTTCTTCTCTCTCTCTCTCTTTCTCTCCATCCTTGTCTGCTTTGATTGATGTAGTTACTATCGGGTTCGGTGATTTCGCGGCCAGGTGGGTCCCGTCTGTGGTGGTTTTGTTATCGAGGTTTCTAGTGTTCTAGACTTTCTATGAGTCCTTCTGTTCTGAATCGTTTTGTTTCTAGAGGAGTAGTTTTTTTTTTATTTGGGGAAGTTGTGGGTATGTGAATTCAGCCGTGACGAAAGAAGTGGAGATGGGGCGAAAGTTGGGCTTCCCTATTGCTTTGATTGCTTTGAGTTTCCAGTCTTTTTTTGGGGGGGCCATGTAACGTATGTGCCACATGGGCGGCCTGGTGCAGACATTTTTTTTCTTTGCTACTCAGTTGAGGTGTTGCTTCCGAGAGGGCCAATCCTCCATGGCTATGTGGTGGCATTGCTTGTAGCCGCTGGGCAGTTGGGCGGTCGCTCGCTTGCAAGTACTGAGTACGGACGTATGTACGTACGCAAGAGAATTGCTAAGAGTTAGTAAGAGAGTCCAGAAGAAGTCGTCTCTGTGGGCGCCCCCCACCGCCAACACAAGCATGGTGGTGCCTGCAAGAGAATTCCGTCCAACGATCGATCGCGAATCGCAGGCAAATGTAACAGAAAGCGCCCGCACGTGAAGATGGGCGATTCATGGTTAGTAGTGTAGATAAGCCCTGGTGCACTGGTGCTCTTGGGTCTGGACGACGTTCGGTTGTTGGTCCAAACACAAGACGCACACGCAGCACGCATGCTCTCTTTCGCGGTCCCGACTTCTGCAGGCGCCGGCTCCCGTATCCGAGAATAACTGGGTGGGCGCCGGACGGACGTCCCCCAAGCCACAGCGCTCACGTACCAGCGGTATCATAGCGCGACGTTTTGCCCGTTGGTGTCTTTCTCTCCTTCGCACCGGTGCTGACGTACTTTGCTATAATGAAACAAGTAAGCATATAGTAGCTGGTGCGCTTTCAACACCTTACCGCAGCTTACCGACGCTAAAGAGGCACAATCGTCGACTAGCTGCTGGCTTCCTCCGTGAACTTTTTTTGCTGCCATGGCCTTCCCTGCCTATGTACGAGAATGTTTGCGTGGCCTGGCGCCTCACCAACTTTGGCAAATACATTGTTGAGGCGCGCGGTTCATGTCACTTTCATTCATACGATGATACACCGGGACTGTACCGAGGACTTCATCATCGATATTCTTGACTCGCTCAAACCCTACGTATATAGCTGGTGGAATAATTCTCCGCGTCCTGCAATGTTTGTGATCGGCCGTTAAGTACTAGGTTGGTGTTTCCGGGGAACTGCAACACGCGGGATGTCAGGGTTAACAGTTTGTAATGAAAATTTCCTGTTTAAGCAGTTGCGCTCAGGTAGATAGCATGTATGAGACGATGATCCCTGATCATAGTCGGTGTGTTACAACATGCTCGACAACCACTTCGTTGTCTACGTAAGTATTGTCCCCACTGAAGTCGGTGTGCGAGGCATGTCACTGAACTGGGAATACATGGTCGGGCGGTGTGCAGTGGATGCATGAGGTGCCTTATGTTTTCCCCTTCACGTCTTGGTCGTCTACAACGTGGCTGTTTTGAGTTTCAGCTGAAGAGCATGTGATTTATTGGTTACCAGCGATGCCGACACAAGCGCCCGTATGCGGATTCTCTCGCCTCGAAGAAATGTAGAGGTGTTCACACACTTGGAATTCGTGGACCAATGTATTCTTAGAGTGATGTGATGAACTGCATATGGTGTGAAAATTGACTTCGGCTTGCACGATTAGATGAAACAGGGCGGACAGGGCGAGCTGGTTGGCTGGATACTACGCTAATTTACAACATCAAGCAGAAACCTTGACATCTGTAACGTTGAAAAAACAAATTGCAGAAAAAACAACATTGAGCGTAGCAATGTCGTCTCAGTCGCATGGTCAATCTCCAAAGAATTCACAGCTTCAATATCAACCTGAGAAACTACCAAACCAGCCTTGTATTCCCGTGAAGTCCAAGTCTAACACCCACCTACTTCCCACCTCTCCTCTTTGCAACCCAGTATTATCATTCCCTCCAACCCTCAAATTCCTATACCCCCATCCAACTCTCTCATTCCACCAGACCAAACATGCCTCCCCTCCCCTTCTCCTCGAGAGTACCCTGATATCACCCCTCGACCAACAAGGTCCTCACCACCACCATGCACCAACCACTCGCCACCACAACCGCCACACGCACAAAAGAATCTAAATTTTTCATGACCCAAGTTTAACAAGATAGAAGAAAGAAAACTCATCCTCTCAACTCTATCACCAACACAACCGAAAACGTGAAAGAGTAAACACAAAGCGCAAAAGCGATACCACGGCAAACATGTCCCACGAATCCGTCTGGTACTCGCGTCCCCGCACCTACGGTAAAGGATCAATCAGCTGGTACGCATCTCTCTCCCTTCCTTTCCCATCACGGTTCTCTTTCTCCCCAAGATTCTCGGCTTGGAAAAACCGAGGTGCTGATGGTGCGCGTGTTTTTTTTTAAAAAAAAACAGTGTCGTCACAGGCTCGAGGAAGAAATCCGGCATCATCCGCAAATACGGGCTCAACATGAGTCGCCAGGCTTTTCGGGAGAAGGCGCAGGATATTGGCTTTGTCAAGGTATGTTGTAGTGGTAAGACGATGGGGAGAGGGGGGAAAGAAGAAAAGCTGATGGGTTGTAGTATCGATGAGCTGGGATTGTAGGGAGACTAAGTGGTCATGATGGGGGAATGTGTGTGTGTGTGTATGAAAAGGTTGGGTGAAGAGAATTCATGGTTTCATTGGGAAAAAAGAGTGTACTATCTGTGTACATGGAGTGTATCCAGATAGACTTTCCATATCCGTGTTTATCCCTCAGTATACATATTCCATGTGTACATCCCTCCACCAGCCGATTTCTGTTCCGTCATATGTGAACTGTGTCCATGTAACATCCCAAGCTACATATAGCAATATCAGAAACTGGCGACATGTAATCTCTCGAATTCTTTCACAAGATCGCGGAGAGTGCGAAACTCGCGGAGGGGTCCGTTGGGATTTGTCAGGCCGACCAGTTGCTGCGTAGCCATATTGTTGATCTCAACAGTGTCAGGCGTGATGACTTCTTCCGTTTCTCCGTTGATCTGTGCAACAGACTTGAACAGACTGAAATCCCCAGAGATTCCGCTTGGTTCTTCGTAAAGCTTGTAAAAAGGCAGTCCAAGCTGTTTGTAGATCTTGGCATCCATCGGCTTCGCTGGAGGTGCTTGGCCAGTGACCTTTTTTGTACACTGCCGAATTGAGGATTTGCGCATTGAATACAGTGGTACATTTCCTCTCCCAGCGATCTCTAAGCCTGTCGGGAACGATGCCTTGCTCAATCTTTCTGCCAGCGGCAATGGCCATCTGCGTTAGCGGGCAATATCCCCTACCTCCACCGCGGAGGCGAAGCACCAGATGGATTGTGGTATTCTGCGTCACATCATCAGCGCTTATTCGTGTTTTCAAGCTGTGTTGCCATACGTGGGTGATCGCGTAATCTGCAAGTGTCCGTTCCTCTAATACCCATGTTAATCAAACTGTAGTTCTACAAACTCAAGTCTTTACTCATTCTTGAGTCCTGTCTTTCTGAATATAAGCCTTTGCTGATTGGACGGATAATCCAAATGATCCTGGATCCACAACATGAGCATTTCGATGGTGTCGGACGATTCAACATGTATTCTGATCGACTGTCCAATCATTGTTCTGACCCAGATGTGGGAACGGCCTGGAATATCCCTTGGATTTATGGAAATATTCAATGCGAATGGGGTAACCTCAAATTGAATACCACCTGCGGCATCCTTACCGGTAATCTGCGATGCCATCTAACCACATTTGCCCTGGCACGATAATGTAGTCTTGGAGAGGTATGCACTCGGAACCTTTGCCGTTAACCTCTGCCATTCGAGCCTGGAGGCGCAGTTTGGTGCCAGCGTCCTCTATCGCAGGCTCACCGGAAATGGCGTTGACGCTACCTACATAAATCTTGATCATGTATTTCGAGTTTGGTTCGCAACTGAAGTCAATCCATATGGCTTCGGACTCTCTAAAGTAAGTCAGTGCCTGTTTCATAAGCGTCTGATGCTGGTGCACTCACGGTATATGGGGAAAAACACGCCACCCTTGGCAGCTATGGCGGGCTCCATTTTGTTTCTGTAGTCGGCTACCGCTTTGATTGGGTATGCTCCCAGATCTGGCGGTAGTTTGGAGATTCGTTCGTTGTCTGGCACCCGGATGGTGTGTCGAAATGAGATGCGGAGTTTGTCATCCACGACTATCTCACTGCCTTTCAGTTCGCGCTCCAAGGAATCGGCCGACATTTTGGGGGAGATCTGTCGCCAATGCTAGGACAAGGGACTATGAAGGAGAGGTGACCACGACTAAATAGAAACGCAGGTCACAGCAAACAGACAGAAACAGAGGGCGCTCGAAAATGTTCCATAGTCACATGACACCGCATCACTCATCGCTCCTTTCACGTCTTTCCTCATCCTCACTCCAGCACAGCGAGAAAACTCTTCGAGCGAAATTCCCATTATTATGCATTTTCTATTTATATACCCCCTGCGCTATGCAAACAATACCCATACCCATACCCACTCCCCATCTATCACAACCTCCTTACTCACAACAACCCCCTCCCTACCTCTACGCCCCTCAAACTCCTCTCACAATCCCCACAATACCCCTTCACCCACTCTTCCACCTGGTTTCCCTTGCCCTGCTTCGCCGCGCTCTCGAGCAGCTTCCCGACTTTACTACACTTGTGCGTTTCGTCCAGAAGCCAATTTGCGTATTCGGCTTCTACTACTTCTTTTTCAATACGGTTGACGACACGCAGGGCGACGAGGAGGTCGTGACGGTGGGATCCTAGGTTTTGGCGTGTGCGGTGCAGACGCTGTGTGCTTTGTGTAGGAGTTTTGAAAAAGGTGTGGGAGGGGTTTGTGGAAAAGGGGTCATGGAGGAGCTTAGTGAAGGTTTGGTGGCTGCGACAGAAGTTAGCTCTAGTTTGTATATATCTGGAGAATATGGCTGTCGTACCATTTGTTGTCAGCATTGGGGACGGGCGCTGATATCTTGATGCTCGTAGCGTTCGGATTGAGGAATGCGTCTTCAATGTCGCGAATGTAGATTGAACGTGTCATGCTGGTTGATGGACCAACTCCTAGTCGCACCATATAGTTTGCAGCGCCTCGTTCGTGCCACCATGTCCAACTGTCTCGTGAAGTATAGAATAAATTTACTCCGCCGCTGAAGAGCAAGAGACCAAAGAGCAAGGTGTGTGCTGAAATGACCTTACCTAGCTCAGCGCCGATCGCCAGGATCCAGCTCATGACAGTTGAGATGAAACTGATGACAATGTTGCCAATGAGCTGCGCAACAAATGACCCCGTAGTTTGTGGTTGTAACTTGAACTTTCGAGGTCGGTTAGGTGGCGGAATGTCTTGCGCCTCCAGCTGTACAGCTTGCGTTTGCGCACCAATCTGGCCAAAGATATTGACAACCTTGTTGGTATTCCTATTATGGCCAAGCCTCGCGACCTGGTCATTGACCACATCCACAAGATCTTGTGCCTCAAGCTCCAGGTCCTGTAAAGCCTGGCGCTCGATAAGCTTCTTCGCGAACCGTGGGTTGCGTTTCCAGTCCACTTTTGTATGGATAGCGAGCTTACATCGTGCTTTCGAGACGTGCGTGACGACAATCTTACTGACCAATACAAAGCGCTCGTGACCAGGCAGATACCAGGGGGTCTTCCGGTCAGATACAACGTAGCAGAGGTGATCGTTGAGCACTTCTATTACTTGGTAGTCGTTTATGACAACGGCTCCATTCTTGCCTGGCTGTGCAATCTCATACTCAAAGTCTCTTCGCTGGAGGCTCTTGTCACCTACGGTCCATGGCCCCTGCACAACGCGCGATGCTCTTCGTTCGCGGTATAATAGTTGGAAAACAGCGCTCTTGTCACCAAAAAGGATATGGAACAACCCCTTTGGACTAATTTCGTATTCCTTCTCCACTGCCACCTGCATCATGCCAGCCGGAGAAAATATTACGGGCTGACTAGGCAACTTGAACTTGGTAGCATTTCTGTTGATATTTGCACCAGATGGTCCAAACAAGTTGCCGTCGATACGCAGAATCGTTTTCATGTTCTTCCCACCATATCCTGGATCAACAGGCGTGTCTGGAGCAACGTCTTCCCAACCTTCTTCAGCCGCTGAGTACTGACCCTCATCAGTTTCCATCTTAAGCAGCTTCTTCACTGTTTCTTCAAGGCTATGCTCGCCTGAGGCTGCATTGCGAACGAGGAAATTTAGGCGTCGCAAAAGCAACCTCAAAGGCTCGAGGAAGGTCTTGACGGTGAGCCTGGTAGCGCCGTCTTGCCTTGCACCAGGTTTGAAATGGAGGAACAAGAAATCGCAGTCTCTGCCAGGTGCAGCAGTCACTTCATCAACTGAGGACATGCTGATACCAGTTACGAGAACAAGACCGAGATGGTTGCTGTAAAAGTAGATGTTCTTGGTTGTGAGATAGACACGACCCGGAAACTCTTGCAGGTCTGTTGGGTTCCATACTGCACGGAACACCAGAACTACTTTCTCTGACCGTGGTACTGTAGGGAACAGTATACGAAATTGTGCATCTTGCATACGTAGAGCGAGAGGATAAGAGCTTGGGAATTCATCTTCATCCACCACATCCCGGTTGGGAGCAGCGGCCATAACACTACCCACACTAGCTGATTTGCGATGGACTACACTGGCCGGAGCTGCTGATGCGCCTCCTACTCCGGCTTTCTTGTCATCAGGCATGAAGCCAGAAGAAGGATTTGGGGAACCTGGAGGTCCGATACGGGTGCTGGATTCCTCTTCGCCTAGAATATTAACATAACCCCAATTAACTGAGCCCCATAAGTTGGCCATTAGTCCACCAGGCATGTTGCCCGAACGACCAGTGCCAAGACCACGTTCGCCGCTCACAGCAACTGCAGCTTTGCTAAGGTTTGTTGGTGCTGGTGGACCGGCAAGTGTTGAAGGGGCAAGTGTCGTATGAGGGAGCGTCTGGCCCATGACGAGCCGAGTATCGGGAAGTCCGACTGCAGGTGCTGTAATTTGTCCACCTTGAACAAGATTATGACTAGCTGAAGCAAGACTGGCAGATATAAGGCTGGCAATGCCGCCACTTGCAGAAGAAGGATTGTTTCCGCTAAGCTGGGGGCCGACTGTTGATTTTCGAGTAAGGTCAAGCTTCTCCATAATCCGGGCAGTGTGGTCGCGACGAGCGCCATCACCTTCGAGCCCAGTAGCACGCCTGGTCACATCAAAGCTTCCACGTACCGCGAGGCCATCGGCACCTGGAGGACCAAGAGTGTCAGAGCGGTCCGTGTTGGCAGTGTCGTCACCAGGAATACCCACATTGCCTTCAGAAGTCTTTGCGGCGAATTCGGGGGCTACAGGCGGGCTGATGGAGAATGCGGCATCGATGGAGCCAGCACCAGACAGGTCTTTGGATGTATCTTCCAGCGCCTTGCGCTTGGCAACCTCAAAGGCAGAAATCCATTCGGTTATGTCGTTTTGCGTCTCAGCTTGCAGGAGGATGGTGGTGTCCTTTGTCTTTACTTCAAAGCAGAAGCGTCGCTCCTCTGCAAATGCAGGCCGAATACCGCAGAGCAACACGCCAATCTTCTCAGATTCTTCGACAGCACCGGATCGCGTTCCTTGTGTTAGCCAACCGAAGATGCCATTCTTGACAAAGAACCACCGCCTGACCCAGTAAGTCCTAGCAGGTTTGCCCGTGATTGTGCGCTGGAACAGCCAGCCCTGCTTCTCTGCCTTTTCGTTTCCGGGATCTGGTTTCGCTGGCGATTGCAAATTGGCAGTCGAGGTTGCTGTGCCGAGGTAGGGAACAGTCGAAGCAGCGTATGAATCCAGATCTCGCGACGGTCGTGAGTTTACTTCAGCAGCGACCTCGATCTGCTGTCGCGCAAGATGCAGTTCTCTCTTGAAGACACGCTCGCCATTTTCCATTTCCTTGCTCCAGCCGCGTACGCGCTCAACATCCGATGTCCAATTGGCGAAGCCCTTTGCAGACGATTCGGTTCCCGACTTCATTTCACGCCACTGCTCATGCACAATCTTGACGAGTAATTTGTCCAGAGTCAAGCGCACCTGAGGCGCCAAGACACAGAAGTTCATGCTGGCTTGGAGGTATGCCCTTCGAGCCTCGTGCAGCTGGAAAGCATCCTCTCTCAGTGACGAAGCCTCCTTTGACTTGATCTGTCCTGCATACCGTGCGATGGCTAAATCAAAGATGCGCTGGGTGGAGTCTAGATTCTTGCGGGCTTCCTTCAACACGCGCAAGTCATTGGAGAGGAAGGCTCGCAATGGCTCGCACATGGTCGTCTCGGCGCGCTTCATACATCGCAGCGCGCTGTTCCAATATTCGCGCGCCCCCTCGCCAAAGCGCTTGAGGGCCAGGACTGTGTAGTCATGGTCGACGACGGCTTCAGAGAGCTGCAGCGGCGGATGTGAAGTTTGAACATATGTATCTACAAGAGCATGCATATTGCTGCATTCGGTTGCAAGCCTCGAGGTGGCGCGGACAAAGGAGTCGAGCCATCTTTCTATAAGTTCGATCTGGTCGCCGTAGTGCACAGCGGTTGCGCGGAAGGTGGGTGAGTCGAGAGCGGCCTCTTTAATTACTACTGGTCTGCACGCTGTGAGTATAATAGGGGGCCCATGGAGCCTTTCGCAACATACATCAAGTCCAGTGGCCTTGATACCGGCTCTACGCTGAGCTGTGGTGGCTCCTCCTCAGCCATGGGTGCGGGCGCTTCCGCTTATAAAAAAGAAGATTACGGAGACAGGTATCTACAAAAGGCCGGGGCAAAAGTAAACATGGAGGCTATAATACATGGCCAAAAGTCATGAAGGGGGAACAGTGTCGCGTGGTGCTGCTTGTCCTGATCATGCATGGGCCCGACCCTGGGTTCCCTTAGGATGCGGCCGTGGGTAGTCACTGCCGCGGCCAACGTCAGGGTTCACGCGCTAGCACCTGCTCCACCAAAATTTTGTGACCAAGCAAGCCACTCCACCAACACCGACATCAACCTCGAGCCACACCACATGGCGGCCACAAAGGACAAGACCACCGCTGGCCGTGCCAAGCGCGAGCTCAACAGCGCCATTGAGCCGCCAGCTAAAAAAGTGAAGCTGCTCGACAACACCGACGACGAAGGCTCCGACAGCGACGACGGCCAGGCATCGCTCAAGATTAACGAAGACTATGCGCGCCGATTCGAGCACAACAAGAAGCGCGCCGAGCAGTTCAGACGTATGCTGATACCTTATCCATTGCCATTCCACCGCTAACTGAATACAGTTGAGGAAAAGTACGGCAAAGACAAGGCCTTCGCCAACGGCGACGATGACGAGTCGGAAGACTCTGAGGAGGGTGTAGAAGAAGACGATACAGCTGATCTGCTCGACGAAGACCTCGATGAACAAGTCAATGCCACTCTCCAGGCTCTGCGCGCAAAAGACCCCCGCATTTACAACAAGGAAGTCAAGTTCTACCGCGATCCCGAAGAGGGCAACGATGGCGCAGAAGACAAGGAAAAAGAAAAACCAATGACACTCAGAGACTACCATACTAAGAACCTCCTCGAGGGCAAACTCACGGTTGATGAAGAGGAGGATGCGCCACCAAAGACATATGCGCAAGAGCAGGAAGAGGCCCGCCAGGACCTCGTCAAGGCTCTAGATGCTGCTGCTGATGGTGAAGACGACGATGACTTTATTGTCGCCAAGGAGAAGCCCGAGAAGCCCAAGGACGACCGACCCAAGATTACAGCAGAGGATGTTGAGAAGGCCGACCAAGACCCAGAAACCTTCCTGTCTAACTTCATGGCTTCCCGCGCCTGGGTGCCCACCAAGTCTGCCCGTTTCCAACCGCTCGAGTCAGATGACGAAGATGAGGACGCCGCTGCCGACGAATGGGAGAACTCGTACAACCTATACTTTGAGGACACTACCGGTGCGAACGAGAAGATTATGACATATGCTCGTGACGCTGTAGCAAGCACTACAGTGCGTCGAGACGAAAAGAGCGGCCGAAGAAAGGCTCGCGAGGCTGCGCGGGCTAAGCGCGAGGCTGAGAAGAGGGAGAAGGAGCAGGAGCTTGCACGATTGCGCAAGCTCAAGGTTGAAGAGATGGAGAATAAGGTCAAGCAGATTCGCAAGATAGGAGGACTGAGCGGCAGAGATTTCAATATCGATGAGTGGAAAGACGTGCTAGAGGCAGACTGGTCAGATGAGCAGTGGGATGCCGAGATGCAGAAGCGCTTTGGAGATGCCTACTACGGAGAAGAAGAAGATGGCAAGAAGAGCAAGAAGCCAAAGAAGCCCAAGTTTGACGACGACATTGACATCAAGGACCTGGTCCCTGACTTCAAGGATGACGAGGAAGAAGAGCGACCGAACCTATCCTCCGACGATGAAATGCCCGACGCTGGCGCCGATGAAGAAGACGACGACGAAGATGATGACGATGTAGAAGACCCAACAACCGGCACCTCCACCAAGAAATCCTCCAAGAAACTCAAGCAAGAGCGTGCAGAAGCAAAATCAACAGCGCGCCGCGACCGCCGCCTAATCGAGAACCTCGTCAACCAAAACCTCGAATACGAAGCCGCCCTCGCCGCCAAACCCTCCAAAGCAGCCTCCCGCTTTCGCTACCGCGAAACATCACCTACATCCTTTGGCCTCACCGCCCGCGACATCCTCCTCGCCGACGATAAAGCCCTCAACGAATTTGCGGGCCTCAAGAAACTAGCCACCTTCCGTGACCCGGTCAAGAAAAAGAAGGACAAGAAGTTCTTGAGCAAGAAGGCGAGGATTAGGCAGTGGCGCAAGGATACGTTTGGTGATGCTGAGGGACCGAAAGGTGGGTTTGAGACGCTTGTTGGTGAGGAGACTGCGGCGCCGAATGGCGATGGTGAGGTCAAGCAGGAGAAGAAGAAGAAGGAAGAGAGTGAGGGGAATATTGTGGAAGGGGAGAAGAAAAAGAAGAAGAGGAGTCGTAAGAGGAAGCTTGCTCCGGTTGAGCTTTAGACTCACTCTGTTTCTTCTGTTCTTTTCTCAATGCATTCATTCGTGGTGTATGTTGGGTGGGTGGATTCTCACTTAGATACCAACAGAGTATTTGTTTAGTGACTTCCTATGCGAAGAATAAAAAAAGTTTCCACTACACCAACATTTCACTTGATACACGTACATATTTTCCCAAACAGAAATCACTTCACTCTGGTCCCGGATATGAACAATGGAATGGTGTTTTTTTCTATTGATAAGCTATTTCTTCCGCCTAGCAAGCGTCTGCTGGTCCATCTACTACATGTCACAAATCCAGCAGGCCTCAGCTCTTTCCTCGTACCCCATTCGGAAGGTATTATATATCATAGAAAAACAATGGAACTATCGAAAGCCGCAACCCGCGACCAAAGCACTGCATTGGACCGCCCGACGCCAATCGACTCGGCATGGATTTTTGTCCATTTTAAGGAGAGGAGTTTTGGTGTGCCACTGTAACCGTGATATCAGACGGAGAAACGGACGTGTTGGGTATGGTGATGTCGCACAGCCATGGCACAGAGAGCCAAAAGCGACTACTGGTCGTCAGCGTCGTCAGGCTGGTCAAAGAGAAAGTTGGCGGCCAGCTCCTCGTTCTTGTCACACGCAAAATATGCCTGGATAACCAGATCACGCTCGAACCCAAGGCGACACAGGCGCTCAATAGCCTCGCGCTCCTCCTCCGTGACGGAGATGGCCTGGGCGCCCGGTGGCAGCGGCGCATCCTCATCTGCGTCCTCGGCAAGCAATTGCAGGAACTGCTCCGGGTTGGATGCTATCATCTGAGCCAACTGGGGGTTACCAGCGCCGACTTGTTGCAGGATGGGCTCAAGCATTTGGGGCTGCTGTTGCACCACCTGTCGTAGCTGCTGGAACTGGGGGTTGTTGCGCAAGAAGTCGAGAGAGTTGGCGTTGAGAGCACCGGCGCCAGCACCTCCAGTACCACCAGAGCGAGCACCGCCAGCACCACCTCGGTTTTGGGCAGCGGCGGCAGCCTCGAACAGATTCATGGGTTCATCGCCTCCAGACGAAGGGTTAGCTTGCGCAGTCGAACCCGCATTTCCGCCAGCAGGCGTAGGCGAGTTGGGTGCACGGGCTTGTGTTTGTTGCGCCTGCTCCTGTAGTGCGCTCTCGGGAATGCCCTAGACGAAGGTTAGAATAAACTTAACCAAGGTGGAACGCCACTCGGCTTACCGTCAGCAGGTACTCAACCGCGCGGTCGGGGTTGAAGAAGGCGGCGCGCATGGCGCGGTCAATGTCAGCCCTCGCAAAACCCATGCTCTCCATGTTGGCAATAGCGGCCTCACGCTCGCCACCCATGGTCAGGGCCGATGGGTCATTGAAGCGCTCGCCCGATGCCTGCGCAGGCGCGGGAGAAGGTGTAGCGGGGGCGTTTTGCGTGGTTGATGATTGAGTAGGAGCTTGGGGAGCTGAAGGTGTTTGGGCTGGTGCGGGAGCAGGTGTTGAAGGCGCAGCTCTACTTGAGGATGCAGCAGGAGCGGCCTTTGGCTTGGAGACCATGCAGACAATGAAGCCCTTCTCCTCGATGTTGTACGACTCGACCGTGTTGGCATCCTGGAGGATCTTGCCTGTTTGTTTGTATGTATCAGCGATCGCGGTGGCCACAGGCATGGGAGCAAGCTGTGCAAGCTTACCGGAGTAGATGAGCTTTTGCTGAGGGACTTCCCAGCCCTTTTCTGCTTGGATCTTGGACTTGAGAGCGCCAATCTGGTGAATGTGTCAGCTGGGCCAGGGCCAGGGCTATGTGCAAGGCGTGGCGGGCGCCGCATACCGTTTCTGAAGGCTCGGCCTCAATGACGAACTTGTTCTGCTTCAGGTCCTGCACGGGCGTCAACTAGGGCTCTCGGGCACCGCTGGCTCGAGAAGACGCGTACCTTGAATGTGATCTTCATCTTGGCGGTTGGTGCGTGGGTGGTTGAAGATGGCGCTGGGGGTGGGCGGGGTGCTCTTGTAGGTGAGGTGGGGATGATGAAGTTGGTCTTGGCGCGATGGCGCAGTGGAAGGCCGTCGTGGTGGCAGGCAGAGGGCGATGGCAAAGGTAGAGCGGCTGGCAGAAGGGAAGCGGGCTGCACGTCGGCTATGTATCCAAGCTACAGGCGTTTGTGCTTGGTCGATGGTCTGCTTGCGAAGGTAATAGAAGTGTGCTGCGCTGGTTAGGCAGAATCTCTCGTCGTCAACCAGCTTAGTGGGGACCCTCTTTGACAGACAGACACAGACACGGACACATAGGTGCACCGCCACAGTTCGCCGCGGTGATAAGTGGCGCAGCGCTAAGAGGGCATTCCTGAGGCGCGTACAGCGTAAGTAGTATAGTGATAGCAATAGCAGTAGCAATAGCAATAGCCTGCAGTACTAAGAACACATGCGATCGACGGGGCGAATAGGTACATAGGTGGCTCACGTGATGGCGAGTCACTGGCCTTTGCATAGTACAAACCTACGACTCGTACTAGCATACAGCACCCACACCCATGTACATATCCACCATGTACATGTGTTTGTAATACACATGTACTGACTTTCCACCCCTCCAACGGCCAGAACGGCCTGCCCGCCCGGCAGTGACGCAACAGCAGACAGAATGGCCCGCGTCCTCATCTCTACCCCGGCCTAGCGCTGCTGGCATCCGTCCAGCGTCCGCTGTCCCCCGGCGCGCATCCACCATAGCACGCGTCAACACCACTCCAAAAACTCGCCCGACGGTTGTCATCACACATCAAATCGACCTTTCAGCGACTGCACGTCCGCCGCATCGTCTTTTTTTGTTTCAATCGCCCATGAGTCGCCCTAGACCGTCATGAGGCGAGAATGTTGTTTCACGGACTCGCCACGCCCGTAGTGCGACTTTCGCCAATTGCATGTGCTGTCATGGCTGCACCGCACGCTGCACCACCCAAGGCACGCTATCGACGGTCCTACTTACCTACTTACATGCCTGTCCCCCATCTCGCGCATCGCGCCCTGCTTGCTAAGTACACAGTTCATGTACGTACAGGCTGGCTGCGGCAGTTCGTCATTGAACAAGGCTCATCCGCCCTGCCCTGCCCTGCCCTGCCTTGCCCTTCAGGGTTGTTTGTTGTGCTTTTGCCGAAAACAAGGCCAAAACAACGCGTGAGGAAATGAAGGGCTAAACTTACCGCAGCTCCACACTACAGACTATGACAGCTAGGCCCTGGCACCGTTTCCACCGCCCTACAACCCTTCAGCTGCCTGTCCATCTCGGCTTTCCATTGGTCGCTGCCCCTCGTGTTTCGAAAAGACAAACCGTTTTCCTTTTCGCCTCAGGTGCAGCCCAAGGGTTGCCAGCCTGATTCAGATGATCCTCGTGTGCCCTTCACCGCCCAGGGACAACTGGCTGTAGTCGATAATGTTAAAGTTGCGCGGATGCGGACGTGCTTCAGGTCCCGGTAATCATGCGTCCTGGCGTCGTGGTGCTGTGTAATGTTCGCTCGATATATGCCTGTCTTCGCCTAAACATGCTAGTAAGGGTTTCCCCGTCCGTCCTACGCGTGTTACAGGCCTGCCCACGAAACAATGGGCCACCCACATCCGCCTTCTGCACCGGCTCTGAATTTATTATTACTTCTTGTCCCTCCCCACACCCTTCCCTACCTTCTCTACGCCGTCAGCTTGTCCTGCATTCGCCCCTGTGGCTCTCAGCCAGTCGCCAACCATACCCTCATTCTTGTCCTTCATCACTCTCTCTAGTCTCACCACCCCGACCACCCATCTCTACGGACACTCGCCATATCCGGCCTAGACCCGTGTCAGCTACGGCCCATAAACGGTTCACCCAGTTATAGTACCTGCACCTATACAGCCGCATCATTTCCTCGAACGCGTTTACCTCCGCGCCTGCTGTTTCGCGCCTCCCCACAGCAACAAGACTGGGGGGCTTTTTGTATCTCATCCTGACAGTTCCACTTACATTGCCGCATCCTCCTCGCTTCCCCCAAAGAGGACGACCGCCAATCGACAACCATTTCTTTTTCTGGGCAAGCTGGTGCTATATTATCATCCTACTTGCTGCTGTGTTGATATCTACCCTGCTGCAAGATCCTGCAAACCCTTTGTCGACCATTCCTCCGAAGCCTTCCGAGGCCGCTTGCCCGTACCTCGATAGTACTTGCAAGTCCTTCCGGACCAAGGCCTACTTCTTCTATCAGTCATGCTACAGTCTCGAAAATTCTACCTTGCGCTTGTCGGTGTTGTTGCCTGGTCAAGTACAACAGTGGACGCAGTCTTGTCTATATTGGAGGCGGCATCCTTGTCATCTACTTACTCTTCCGTGGCCAGCATCGCTGCCACGGCAGGCACGCTCGATCTCGTCTCCCTTGGCTGCGTTGGTTTCTATACTCTCCACAATGTCGGGAATATACGTGGCGCATTGGAGCAACCAGGAAAAGCAAGAACGGCTCTCATAGCCATCAGCATTCTACTGTCAAGTGTGGCATTGATCCTATCACTCGTATTGATCATCGTGATCAAGTCGAAATGGGAAGAGATCACTGCTGCCCCTCCAGTTGCACCCGTCTCAAACTGGAGCAGCCATGTCTCTGCACAAATAGCGTTATGGATCATCTCATGCGCCAGTCAAGTCATCCTGTACACTTCCCCTCTGTGGAATCGTAAGGCTCCAAAAGTTCAAACTGTCGTTACGTCCGGCCCTCGCGACTCCGTCATAAGTGAACTGCGAACACACCGCCCCAGCGACTTGTTCTTGGGCAAAGCCGTCGAGCCGTCATCGCCACTGGCTGCTCACCACCGTCCAGAGGCTATGGGATCACTGCCTTCGCCTACCCTATCTATTCAGTCGTCGAAGTCACTTAAATCATTCCGAGAATCGCTTCGTCATGTGGTGCGACCCGTTACATCGCGCACTACTCTGATCAGCCAGCGATCGTTTAGCCGAGATGGAGCACCTAGCATTTACTCAAATCGGCAATCCTCGGATACTATCTCACACTCGGACGGATTCGATAGCTGGGATACTAGTGGCGTAATCATTCCAACACGCGACGTTGTCCTGCAGCAAACGATGTCATACAAGGGCACAACGTTGGAGCCCATTCCTGGAAGCCGACCAAACTCATTTGGTCGGGCCCTGGACGGTTCTTTTCTTTCCGAGCTTCCGGAGGAAGATGACGAAGAATTGTGCCCGCCTCCCAGGATGATGCCAGACGTCTCTCGACCACCTAGCCCTGCCGTCAGTGAAGCTCATATCCATCCGCTGTTTAGGTCGGAAAGTCCATCTGGGCTACCACCTCCAGCCGCTACGCCAGGCACTAGCATCATGGCTAGCCCTTATTCGAACCAGGCGATTGCATGCCCTCCACGATCGTTCAGCCGGATGAGATCAAGTAGCCAACTGAGCCAGACGAACACGATCAATAGTCTTCACCATACCAGGAGCTTTACCCGCGATCGCCCAGGAAGTGTAGGGTCCAAGTCAAGGAGCCCTTCACCTCCAAGCCGCGCGATTACACCTCCGATTCCCGATTTTGTGTTGAACACTTCTCCTCGAACTAGCATCAACGGCTCTCGAAGAGTCAACCTACAATATTCTCCCGACCGATAAAGGTCTGCATCTAGTCACGAATCGATTCTACGGTTATTGAAATGATGCAGTACTTTGGTCAACCATTTCACGTTTTCTATGCTTGTATGATACGATTCCCCCCCCCCCAAATTCCCTGTATTCATTTCTTCAAATGCTTTTCTCTGTTTTGCGAGCTCTCGCCCGAATGGCTTGATCGAGCTTTCAGCGTTTTCCTCAGTTTGTCCCTCATTATTAGGGCTCCAGCATATGGACTGTTGAGCAGAACCTCACAAGTAAAGAATATTTTTATTACTATTATTATTATTATTATTATTATTATTATCATAGTTTACCTTATTTTTATTTTAGTCATGGCGGGAACACTGGAAAGACGAACCAAGACAAAAGCTATTTAGAGGCTCTTTTATGGCCTTAGTTGTTTCAAGAATTGAAATCTTGAACACCTTTACCAAAATACCAAAGATACGTAATACCTTATCTCCAGAACAAAAAGATCTTCAAATCCGCAGACAACCTCTCTTTTTTTTCTTAGTGCCTAACAGTCCATCGCTTCTTGCTACACGGACAGACTATTTTTTTTTCAGCAAGCGTACCGAGTTCTTTTTTAGGTCTTTGAGGGTTTTCCATTAAAAAGATCTAGACCTTTTTTACTTTATTTTCCATTTGCTGCCAAATATTTTAGCACGAGTCAGTTTATCATATCCCGTTTCGGCCGCCCTTCCGTCCTTTTTTTTTGTTTGTGAAAGACAAGCACAACTATTAAAAAAAACTTGGTAAACTCTGGGCCGATCCTATAAACCATCAAAGTAGTAAAGGAAAGTCGATCTTCGCCCATTTGGGTGCACGGTCAAATACACGTATGCTACTCTTTATTTGCCGGCACGTTTCAATATCAATCGTGGTGGTGTATATGTGGACTTGTGTATGAACTGGGGTGGGGATGTCTCGAATGCGGACTACGAACATGGGGTTGTTGCGGCTGTCGCACGTAAGGGAGGAACGTTGGCAGGTTGGATCGATCGTCTTTTTTGTGTGTGTATGTGTGTGTGTGTGTGTGTGTGTGTGCGTGTGCGTGTGTGGCATCTTGACAGCAAGGGGAAGACTACAAATGCAGGGTCCGCTCGTATTCGCGATGAAAATTTAACCTTTGTTTATGGTGTAAAAGGTTTAAAAGAAAGAAGACTAGTTGTACGGCGGATACGGGTATTCTTGCCATACATGGGCGACGCGATGATATGGTGTGTGGGGCTGTTTTGATACGTTTCCTGCAGAGAGTTCCTTTTCTTTGGGCAGACAGGCATCATGCTTTTTCTTCCCCCTTTGCTCGTCTTGCGCCTTCCCGGCCTCCACACCCGCGCTGAAGGGGATAAGAATAACAGCACCACGGAAAAGAAATAAAGTTTGTCTTGCTATACCTGTTGACAAAGAGGATGGGGCTGGGGTAGGCGTCCTCACCTTGCGAGTTTTGTAGAACAAAGGTTGTCAGGACTGAAACGCCGCTTCTTTCCCCAAAAAAGGCCTGTTTGAATACTAGGACGGATGTGTTTGTATCCCTCTTTTTGTCACTTGCAAGAAGGAGCATATTGATATACGTATATGTTTGTGTGGGGGGGGGAGACTACAGGACGCCTGTTCCAAAAAGCGAGGTTCGCATGTAGTTCATCGCTAGACGGGTAGATGGCAACAAAGCAAAGCAAAAAAAGTGGAAACAAAGAAAAGGAATACCTGACTCTCGTTGGCGAACAAAGAAGCGTACGATTCTTACTTACTCGATGAACGCCCTTCATCACGAGACCCCTACTTTACACATGAATAGCTGACAGGCGAGAGAAAGGGGTTCGCCATCCCCACAAAAACCTCCCATAAAAAGCCCCCCATCGTTCCTATCAATAAAGCCTCCTACTACTTCTCAACCACCCTTCTTTTCTCTCTCTCTCTCTCCCTCTCTCCCGCCATTCTCAAATACACTTATTCTGGAGAAACTTCATTTTAGGCGCCGTGGATGTTTAAAAAAAAACCCCCTCTCCTATGTAATTGCATAGTACCGGTTGCCCCAATGCTGTGCATGCGAACAAATGGCATGCATATCGATGGTGGTGACGATTCGGGAGGATCGTCCCGCCCTAGGTTAGCCGGGGGCTGGCTGGCTGACTGCTCTGCGCGCGCGCGGGCTAATGACGTGCGACGTGAAACCTGTATGAAGCAACTAGGGAAAGCTTCCAGAAGCACTGGGCAACACACACCCACACATGCGTCTTTTTTTATTTATCTATTTTTTTTGTGTAAACGCTACGGCAGAGACTGTAGATGGCAAGTATATATACATGTGTACAGAGAGATATGGATGGAGGTGAGGTGAGGTGACATTTTTCCAAGGGTCCAGCAGGTTGTTTATTATTCGGATCATCTGTTTTTGGGTAAGGGGCGAAAGGTTGCAATGCATGTTAATTAGGGACTTTGCCCTTCTCGGGGGGAGGAAGCTATTGGCGCAAGCACTGGGAGGCTTTGCGGTTGTCGACTGACAATTGCATCTGGGGGAGGGAGCAAGAGTGTATAGTGCATAGCACCTACTTTTCAAGTATGCAACAGTTGGTTGTTATGTAGTGGTGATGACAAGTTGACTGTATGTTGCCAAAGTTGGCCACAGTTGTTGGCTGCGGGCGGCTACGCAAAAGGGAAAAGCGCGCTGTCATTCGTGGGAAGCATTCTCAAAGTGGTTTGGCGCCAGCAAGCCAGACCAAGGATCTCACAAGAGCTTCATCTTCATGCGCCGGAGTCAACGCCGTTGCTGCCACTCCTTCGACGAGGCTTCTAGGACCTGCTGTACAAGCTGCTGCTGCTTCTTCCGTCTTTTCCTTTGCCCCCGGTGTTTACACATCTTCTGTTCGTCTGGGGCGCTTCGACTGCAACTCGGCCACACGGAGCATTTCGTTTTGCAAGGTAGTCTGCTACTCTTGCCCTCCATCTTTGCTCTTCTCGACGAGAAAATCGCGTTTGAGGGTGGACCAGAGGTTGCTATCCTGTCCTGTTGCTGTTCCATGTATTTCCGGTCTAGTGACTCGGGTTTCGCATTCCGTTATTGAGCAAGTCACGGTGGTACCTGGAGCCAGACTGGTACACGGTAAGTACCTTCTCATCTTTCACCACGTAGCATTTGTAAATCTACCTCACATTCAGTCGTCTCTGCCAATGCTTCTATGCGAAACATACAACAAGCAGTTGCGATATTATTCCATCTTTGCCTCCTGATACTACTATCACGACTATGCTGACACGTCTTGCTTACAGACCCGACGATCGCCGTGTCACACGTGCAAAGCAGCAACAACGCCAGTCACGGAGTATACATTACAGCATTTCGACTGTAAGTATTCATCTTCAATGTTCCGAAGCAGGCCGTTGGCATATGCTGCTTCTCCAGCAACAAGGCCATAACAAGCTAATGACTGGGTCATCATCAAAGGCGTCAGCCCCCAAGTGCTCGCCAACAGCAATGCCGCCCCGGCGAAAGTCGCAGACGGGCGGAGCCATGTCTGCAGCATCTTTCAAAGGCCCAGGTACGTCCGAATTGCCATTTCCAACGGCGTCTCCATGTTCCCCATAGGGTTATGCTAACCTTGGCATAGCCGCTAGCGCATTGTCTAATAAGCGAAGTAGTCTTCAGGGTTCGAAGACATCTCGCCTTGCTCCTTCAGTACCATTCCAAATGACAACGCGTCGCGGTGCAAAAGGCACATCTAACCACACAAGCTCCGCGGGCCCATCTAGCGCGAGCTCTGGCAGCCGTCGCAATTCTCTGGATGAGAACGCGCAAAACGAGGATGCGACTGGCGACCATGAGGATGCGCGACCAGCCAAGCGCAGCCGAACATCGTCCGATTCTGGTTCGCCGCAAAGATCTAATGGCTCACTCGACAACAACAACAGCAACACGCCCATGAATGGCACGCAAACCCCAGAGCTGCAGAAACCCGCCTCTGGCGCGACTTCGACGGCCCCTAAAACGGCTGGCAAAAAGAGGCGCGCATCCGACGGCTCCACCCACTCGAGCAAAACACGCCCAAACAGTGTTCTGACCCGGGCCCAAAGCGATGTTTCTGAGCAGCAACCGCGCAAAAAGCGCAAGACAAAAGAAACTGCTGCAGACACAGCCGCCGACCAACCCCCTGAGTTGACTGATGCTAGCACTGCCCCCAATTCGCCAGAGCATATGCCCGATGTTGATGGCAGTCAAAGCCTGCACAACATCCTGCCAACCAGTGGCGATGCCCCTGCAAAGTCCAGCAGGCGCCTGCCTGGTCGCCGGCGCCAACCGCATCCGGACATCAATGTGGAGACTGACTTACGTCGACAGCTCAACTTGAAGATGAGCTATCGCAGTCTTGCAAAAGTCCAGAAACTTTTGCTCGAAGAGCTGGCCACTCGCACTACTAAGAATTTGGAAGACGATCCCGACTTTCATAAAAAATGTCCCGAGTACGAGGCTGTCATGGCACAACTTGACCAACGCCGCGACGCGCGCCTGGATCAAGTCAATGCCATGCGCACGTATCGACTCGAGCAAATGGAGCGAGTGCGTATTGCTGAAGAGCATATCCAAAGGGAGCAGTACATCAATCGATTCCGGGAATTGCAAGATGACTTTGTGCTGCAAATCTACTTCCGCGCAAAGCAACTGGAGCGGGAGATGAAGGGCCAAGATGCTAACGCGACTGATGATGAAGACAATGTTCTCCCGCCTACGTATAGCGATGAGCCCCATCATGCAGAAGATGACCGCATTGGATCCAAATTTGCTTCGCGTAGCAGAGCTTATGTTGAGGCAGACAGGGAACTTGAACATGAGTCGATCCGTAAACGATTCAGCCAGGCAAGAGCTGCTTTTGTCGAAAAGGACGAAGAAGCCGATGACTCTATAGAAGATGTTGCCGGTGGATTTGCGAGATTTGACGGTCCAGATCGCACGGAAGCTATTGCACACTACAACATCAACAGCCTGGCTGATGCTGCGTACGAAGTCGAGAGAACACCGTCGCCACAACCGGAAGAACCAAAGGCTGAGGTCATTCCAAACGAACATGCTGCTCTACTCATGATGCTTGCAGACGTTTCTTCTAACCAACCCCGGAGTAGCACTGTACCAAAACCACCTCTTCATTACCCGCACCCACAACAGCAACCGCCTCCGCCATCAAGGGCTAAGACACCCGTGATCAAGCAGGAGTATACAAAAGAGAAGACGCCTGAGATTGCTCCGTCAGCAGGGCCACCAGGAATACCGTCTCATGCTGCACGTAGTACACCTGCCGAAAGCACACAGCCAGTGGCAGATCCCAGCTATGAGATTCGTCGCTCTGAACCATCTGAAAATACGCCTGCGAAAGAACCCGAGGTGCCAGCAAAGTCAACGCCGAGATTATCTACGCACAGAATCATGGACATATTGAACGATGACCGCGAAGTGCCTGTATCGAGGACACGGGAACAACAGCCACCAGCTCAGGAAAAGACCATTTCTTCAAAACACGAACCATTGGCCCATCGCCGCACAACGTCTCGGAGCGATGCCCTGCGAGTGGATGCAATGGTGAACAAGGAAGAGCCACCTATCGACCAGGCGCTGATGGATGCATTGAGCGGGCCAGCTCGACCACCGAGCAACCCACCTTCATCGCCGCCTTCGAATGCTCAGCCATGGCCACGAGCAAGTGTTCCGCCAACCCGGGAGTCAGAAGAGTCGTTGCGTCGTCGGGATCCTCTGCAGAAGATTAGGGAACTTTTGGATAAGAAGGCCCGTGAGCGTGGTCGAGAACCGCCAGACCATCCGAGCTATGTTCGACCTCCTGTATTTCCTAATCGACCAAATCCTCAGCCTCCAAGTGGGCAAGACCAAGGCGAGGTGGCAGCTTACGATCCAACACGACCATCTACGGGACTATACGATTCGCTACCTGGTGGTTCGTACTCATATGCATCTCGGCGAGAGTCACACGAACAGGCAGCTCCGCACTGGGAGCATGACAGGCGGATGAGCGGGTCTCAACCAACTCAACATTCAGCGGCATCTCCGTATCAAAGCCATGCCGCACACTCCCACTATGGTGAGCACAGCAGGTCAGGGCCAACTCCACCAACGCACCAGAGTCCCTATGCCCCACCTCCTAACTCATTACCACTGCCACCGAAACCACCTGGACCCCCTCCCGCTATCAACTACCGCTTTGCACACTATGACCCTGCCCCACCTCGACCGTATCCACCACAATCACCAAGTTACCCGCCTTCTACTTCTCATCCGCCACAGAGTGCCGCTCAACCGCAGTATCCCAACCCATACAGCAACGCACCATCCTATCAAGGTGGTTACATTCCACCTCCAGGATCCTTCCAAGCACCACCGCCTCCCCCATCAAGCATGCCCTCATACCAACCCCTCAAGATCCATCAATACGGAGGCCAGCCCATTCTCCCCGCCAACATGGCACCACCTCCACCCCAACACAACGGACCACCGCCACCCACGCTACCTTTTATCGGCCAGGGAGCACCTCCACCGCCACCAACGCACGCCTCATCGCAATCCCAAGGCTCACAACAAGCCTACTCCCCAACGCACCCCCACCCACCTCCTCTCCAATACGAACAGCAGCCGCGAGAACCGCAACCGCAAAACGGCACCGCCTCAGAACGCTCGTCGGATTCGCAATCCAGACCCAGACGGCCCTATCGAAGTTATCACGCCCCCGGCACGCAGTTTAGAAGTTATCAAGGTCCAACTGAGCAGAGGAGGAGAGGCGGATAGACCTAAGAAAAAAGAGGTTGGGAAAAGCGTTGATGATAGCATGTGTTGGTGTGTATGTTTGTGTGTTGTGGGAAATCGGGGGAAAAAACGGGTGTCCATATAAAAATTAATTCTTCTTGTTTTTTTTTGGTTTTTATTGAATATCATGACGGTATGAAAGGATATTTTCGCGCGCGGGGGGGTTTGTGGGAAGGGTCTCAGTTAGTTTCGGTTGTATTCTCTCTTTTTTTTCGTTGTTGTTGTTGGTTTTTGTTTCCCCCATCGTTTATTTTTTTTCTCCTTTCCATTTTAGCATTTTACTGGGTTTTTTTTCTTCTTCTCTTTGTTAAGTCTATTCCGTTCGTTTTGGTAACTGGGAAGAAGGTGGGAGAGAGAGAGAGAGAGAGAGAGAGGGGTGGAGTGCTTGTGTGCTTGTGTGTCTGTGTGTCTGTGTGTGTATGTTTTTTTTTGTTTTGGACTTTTATTGTATAGGCATTCTATTGCGTGGGGGGGATTGAGTGGTGCAGTAGAGTGGGAGATTTGAAGTATTTTACTATCATCATTATTATTATTACTATTACTCTTACTTACTTACTTATTTATTTATTTAACTTTTTGGGTTTTTTTTATATATATACTTTTGGTTGGTATTTTTCTTTTCTTTGGTGGGGGGGTTGGTTGGTATGGGAAAGAGGGGACAGACAGAGAGGTAAGTAAGTAGGCATTGAGATTAGGAGTAGCGGGTGGATTGGGAAATATATAGTATATACATACGTTTGGTGGTTTCTTTTTCTTGTGTGTATGGTTTGGATGTTAGAGAGAGAGACAGAGAAATAATGTGTGTTTGTAGGTTTAGAAAAAAAAGGGGGGGGAGAAGAAAGTGTAAAGGGTATGGTAGCTTTTAATTTATTCGGTTTCTCTCTCTCTGTGACCACCGTGAAATCATTCCTGGGTCTATGGGTACTTATATCTCATTGATACACATCAACATATCAAAACGCTACAACACCGTCTATACATCCAGAAAAACAACAAAGATGGGTATCAACATCCTAATCCGCACGAGCACTTCGCACGAAATCCCCTCTCCTTCATACCTTCCTCCTCTTCACCCTCGGCGTAGGCGTCCACTCCTTCCCCTCCCTTCCCCCAAATCCCCCCGCACTACTACTATTCTGCCTCGGCGTTGCGCCCCCAACCCTCTCAAACAATCTCTGAGCCGCAGGCGTAAGATCCGCTTTTCCCTTTCTACCGGGGGTCTGACCTACTGCAACACCAGGCGTAGCCGGACCCGCGCCTTTGAACCTCGGAGTTTGCGAGGTGAAAATACCGAGACGCGATCCTGTCGACGGTAATGACGAAGACGAGGGTTTGGAGGTGTGGTTGGTACCGTTGGATTGAGAGCGATTCGCATTTATCTTGTCCACCATTCTATGTAGCATTTTCTCGCGCGAGGAAGATTCGTTCATGGTAAAAGGCGAGACTTTGTTGGTGGAATTCAGACCGTAGCGTTCGAGGAGGTCGGTGGGGGCGTCTGCTTCGGAGTCGGAGTCGTCAGAGGGTGGGTGCGCATCGACGAAGGCGTAGCCGTTTACGCGGGGGGTTTCGCTGCCGGTGTAGCCGCCTTCGCTGGGGTTGAGGCGCGGCCGGCCGGCGATGGCGTCGCGGACAGCGGAGAGGGTGGGGCTAGAGGGTCTTTGGGGTTGGGGTTCGGTGTCGGGAATGGGGAGGCGCGTGTTGTTGTATACGACTTGCTTTGGTGGTGCGAGGGATTTGCTTTCTGCGACTTGAGCGCGCGTGGGTGCCCATTGTTCTACGCTTTCGGGGCCGAACATTAGACTGTTGATGGCTGTGTGTCTGTGTCCGGTTGGTGCCGCTAGTCGCTCGTCGAGGTCTTGGCTGGGTCGTGTGCTGAGGACTAGTTCTTTGCCTTTTGATTCTGCAGCTCTTGCTTCGATGACCTTTTGCTGGGCTATGCGCTGTTTGCTTGCGTACATGTTGCCCTGTCGTAACCACACATTCTTCTCGAATCTGGCCTTGTTTTGCTTGTCGACAATCTGACTGAAGCTCTCCTGGTCTTCGCTCGTGTATTTGGCTTGGAAAGCTCCCAGGCTCATATCCAAATCCACATGGTCCAGCTTGCCCAGATCTTGGTCAACTTCTTCTGTTTCACTCTCTGCCACGGTAGTGGGTGTATCTGCACCCCATACGCTTGGTGTCTTGTCCCCAGATCCACCCGCCTTCTCGAACCTTGTCCTTGCTGCCATCTTCCGCTGCCCGTTCGGTACAGGCGTCATGACTTGTGTAAGCTTTTTGCCTGCTTCTCGTATCCATGCCCGGTTCTTGCTCTCGACGGCGTTTAGGTACTCGCGTTGTGCATCTGCTTCTGCCAACCCGGGGAAGAAGTCACGGCGGATGATGTGTGAAATTGCAGAGACATATGTATCTTCGTCGAGAACCACTGAGGGACGCTTGATACGCTTCGGCGCAGGAGGAGGCGGCATGAGAGCATCGGACGCGTTGCGCTTTGTGAGCGCCGTCGAGTTGGAGGCGGACATGGCGTAAGCGTGGCCAAACTGGAGGCTGTTGAACGCGGCTTGAGGATTGTAGCTGAAGCGTTGCAAGGCCTAGGACATAAAGCGCCAAGGGTTGGTCGTGAAAGCGTCTGGAGTTTGCGACATGGGTACTGTGTTTGTGTAGATGGAGGAGTTTGGCCGGTCGCAAAGTGACGTTCTTGGACGATTATATCTTGGCACTGGCAGATGGCTCTACCGCCTTCAGCCCTACCACCATTCAGATGACCGGTGAAAGTAACTACATCTATCTAGCCTATCACAAGCCACATGAACCAACTAAGGACTATTTCGAGGTCTTGTTGTGCACGGCATATATCGATTCTGATTCCAAAGGAACTTTGCTTTTAAAACGCCCCTATCTCCTGTCTCGATCCTATACAGTATCTACTGTATACAATGGTCATCAACCAGACACTATCCTATCTTAGCATGGCAACCGTTGCTCAAACATCTCTCGGAGCCAGTATTGCCGCTGTTGCCTTTATTCTGCAAATGCAATGATGCTCTCTATCCTCGGCGACCTTTTATACACCTCGGGTGCCTGTGTCCCGTACCTCAGTGCTCGAGACGGTCTCATGCGCATATCAATGAACTACTGAAATGGTGCATAGTGAAAATACACTTTTTCGTATCCAAAGGTTCTGCTTTAGTAAAAAGATTCGACCATGGCGTCCTTGTGTGTGGTGTTGATGTTGGCTGGGCCATTGCCCTCGCCGAGCCGGAAAACGGATTCGACGACTGAAAGCTCAGTAGCGGTGGTATCGAGACCTGCGCATCATGTTAGCCTATTTAATTCACTTTTTTTGTAATATCTGCACTCACCAGTAACGGCCATCCAGTCGTTGACGACCATTCCAGCACCGACAACAGCACTACCGCGGTTCACACTGCCTGCGACAAGCGGAACCTGGAGCAAACTCGAAAGCTCATCCTGGTCCTGAATACTAGTCTTGGGGTGGACAATTCCACCCTGGTTGCTCAACGCCATGTAGCTTCCGGTGAGCACGTTGTCAGCAATGGTTTGCCTGAAAACTTCAACGCCCAACACATCTGCTATTATCTCTTCTGTCTCACGCTCAATGTCCGGGTGAACAAGGGCAACGTGATCATTGCAACATATTACGTTGCCGAGGGCGGACAAGCGCTCTTCTATCCTCTGAATTTTGACTTCATCGGGTATGGAATTTCGCAGGTGCTGGAGTTCTTGATCGGTGGTGGTGGTGGGGACAAGGAGGCCCTTCTTGTTGCTATATAAATGTTAGTTGCAAAGCTCACCATATTCTCCAACATGCCTCTAGACGCTACTCTACGTACCCAGCTGTCAATCTGCCGACGATTCTGGTTCCGGCGATGGTGGCATGGCAAATAGGAATGACATCCTGAAGTTCGGCTTCGAAGACACTGTTTCGCCACCGTCAGTATCGCTGCTTTTTTTTTTGGCGGAATTTCTTGTCGCAATAAGTGCGCACCTGTAAAAGTTCTCGCTCGCGCCGACTGCGACAATCGCATATGCGTTTGTGAGGGTAGAAAAGACACCAACTTCGTTGGAGTTTTCAAATTGCGCGCGGACAGCCATGATTGATGGTTTCTCTGTGTAGGGTGTTCGCAAAGGCTGGAGAGGTGAAGGTTTGTGGTTGGGGAGTAAGGCAAGGAGTAGAAGCGCGCAGCTATGGAGCTGATTGTGTTGTTCTGCAGAAACTGTGAAGAGGCGTAACTATTTTGTAAAGAGCGACATCATTTAGCCCCGCTACTTGATTAGGACTAGTGCAGCGGGCGCTATTTCGACTCATCCTGAGTGAACCTTGCGAGGGTCTGGTTGCCTTGTCTCGGCGAATCCAGATGTCCCTCTCGGGAAAGGCATAGCTGTAACCTGCCAAAGACTCATCGACTGAGCCACCGCCACGGATCCCAGGCAAAGCAGCCTCGTCACGGGACATGATGTAACCATTCGGCAGACTCTCAAAAGTCACGCTCAGGCCCTCGGCACACGGCAAAAGCGAGTCAAGGTCCCGACAAGGCGTGCGCCAGTGCAACGGGTGTCGTTTTCTGAACAGCGCGGACATTCTAGAGCCTCTCCTGGGCGACTGTCAACTTCATTTCCATCAAGGTCTTCCCGTGACGCTACTCTTCTCGCCAATGCTGCCTCCAGGCTTCAACCTGGTATCCATCGCCTTGACATGATTCACGCAGGTAAACAATCACTAGCTGCCGCACCTTTGATGTCACTGATCGCGATTGACATGTCGTCGATCAACTCGACACGAACAAACGTTGTGCGCTTCTTCAAGCTCGCACCATTGCGTTAATATTTGATTAGGGGACCAACGCACGGATAAGGCCCTACAACAGATTTACAGCCACCAGAGATGACATGCCCGTCTCACATCAATTAGCCCTTCCAAAAAGGATACACAGGTGACAGGCAAAAAGCAATGGATACGATGACAGGTAGAGAATACAAGGGTAATGGTATTGCGCCATGGCAGCAGTGCCAGGCAGATGATAATACAAATGGGTAATACGCTCACGGAGAGCACAAACAAGCCGAAAACAGGAGCAACGCCCGCTAAACCGCTAGAATGCCGCGCAAGATACGCTTCCCAAACTGAAGAAGGTAGAGCAGATACAACAAAATGAGAAAAAAGAAACAGCACCAGACACTGTCCAGATACCAGACAGCCAGCTCAGGGCGACACCAAAGGAAATGTCGAGCAGAGCGTTTTGTGTCGAGTGACGCGACCAAGAAAAAACATTAACGTGTGTGATGGCATGATATGTTCGTAAAGCGGTTCGTTATGTAGAAGGATATCCCGTGCAACGGCACATGTACATGACCAACAGGGCCGCTGGTAGCGGCCCCTAGATCAAGAGCTTTTGTTGCCGACAGATTGTTGGCGAAAATACACTGTGGAAATGCTCAAGTGGGAGTCACTCAAGACATGCGTGATGCGAGAATGGCCAACGCAATGATGACACCAATCAGGAGCGTGCCGACTCCAGACATGACACGATTCAGGTTACGCCACCAGGTCGCTTTTTGGAAGGCTTTGTCGTCCACTGGGCCTACGGACTGGGCAAACTGCTGTTCTACATCGGCCTGGCTGAGACTAGAAGCAGTAGCCATGTGGTTCGGGTTGAGAGGCAGGGGGAGGAACGAGGCAACAATCCATGCTGTTTTTCTAATCAGTACGTTTGTTCACTGACAATAATAGAGTTGAACCGAATAGGAGACTTACACAGAGGGCAGATAAATCCCAAACAGAAGAACAGGATTTGTCGGTTCTGGCGTCCAAGAAGGGTGACATGAACATCGGCGTCGAGAGATGGTGCATTCCACGCGCTGTATCTCGTGTCTCCCCGGCGATCGGTGCGGAGATGTGGTGTCGAGTATTGCCTGATCTGGTACATACGAGCACCAGCTGGGTTGGTTGCACCATCAATGGATTGAGCGTCGTCGGCAAGGGAGACGGTGTCAGCGAACGAAGCAGCTCGGTGCCGTGGACGGTTTCGTGGGCGGTAAATGTTGGGCGGGTAATTGCTCTCAGAGGGAGTGTGTGACCGTCCGCTCTGTGACATCTCCTGCACTACACTTTCTGCATACTCTGATTCTGGGGCACCTCCTGAGATTCGCTCGCCCTTCTGGTAGTAGGCTCTTGCCCATGCAGGAATGTTGTTGGCGAGGAAAATGGACACGCTGGACTGAGCGGAAACGGGTCGAGATGTCTCGTCCATGGACATGCTCTCGACGCTGTTGGCCTTGCGCAGATAGCCCGAGTTCTTCACACGCAACGGAACCGATGAAGGCAATGGCGAGATTGTGTCGAGGTGTTCGCTGTTGTTGTCATCGAGGGAGCTCTTCGAGATCGGCGAGAAGAGAGGTTGGGGCACTGCCGAGTACTCAGAGTGTGCTTCGGATGATGCATTGTCTAGAGACGATTGCGCGCTCGACACCGTCTGTCCTCTCCGTCGTGGAATATTTGTCCGGCCACTAGCGCTATAGCTCTCCTGTGAATGCGACCTGGCCCCAAATGACCGCGAGCCTCGGGCGATTGAGCGCGAGTCGCGCTCGGATGCCGAGGGGATAGTCGATAGTTGGGAACTCCATTGGTGTAGTGACGAGCGGTCCTGCATCCGGGACACGATGCTGGCTTGGTTCTGGGACTCAGCCCGCAGTGTGCTGGACGAGGGCACGCGTACAATGGGGTAGTTGATTCGAACGCCGCTCGCAAAAGAGACCGTGCTGGCTTCATGAGAAACTGGTGATGTAGTTGGCTCGATGCTAGTGGACGAAATATCAGAAAACGTTATCGAATCTGTGCTTTGTTGAGGCTTCAATACATGTTGTCGATTGTCAGTGTCACTAGTGAGTGCAGAACGCCCTGCTTGAGGTTCGGACGACGGGGCTGATTCGTCGCCTTGTGATAGAAGGGGCCCGATACTGAGACGCGACGTGTTTCCACCATGGCCAGAAGAAGATGGGTGGGCGGCGATGATGGTTGAGGCAAAGGATGCAGCAGAGGCCTTTGGGGTCAATGCACGGTTGCGACTCTCGAACGAATCACCACCAGACGAGGAGGGAGGGACAGCGCGGATGGTTGGCCTCTGGCTGCGCGGCTCCTCTTGAAGTACTTCGAGGGTATCACCATCGTCAAACTCTGGTGGGGGTGACGACGGGGCAGTGCTGTCCTGCGAATATCTTACAGATGAAGGGGTAAAGGCAGAGGATACAAAAGTGTCTTCTTCTGACGTGCTAGTTGCGGCTGAGTGCCTAACGGCCTTTTTCCGTGACACGATTGGCTGTGGTGTCTGAACTCGGCTGGCCTCGAACTTTGCAACGACACTGGCTACCTGGCTGTTAGATGAAACGCGAGACCCTGGCCTCTCGGGTTTCTCGAACCCATAACCTGGCGCATGACGGGGTGGAGATAGAATCTGCGAAGGTTCGCTGGGCACTGGGTACTTTTGATAGATGTCATCGGGAGTGTCCTGCACTAGGCGGATTGTGGGACTCGAGTGCTGATTGGCTTGCGAGTTTGAGCGTTCGTGAAGCGGTCTCCGGACGGGGGAGGAATCCTTTGATGGCGATTTTGGGGGCGAGAACCGGGGGCCTTGTGGAAGAGTTAATGCGGTTGGCGTTTTGGCGCGTTGGTTTGATGAAGACATGCTGCTGCGCAGGCAGCCGTCGGGGTGGTGGTGGTGGTGTTGGTGTTGATGTTCTTGGTGATGTTGTTTTTGTTGTTGCTGTTGTTGGGGGTGCTGGTGTTGGTGCAGGCGTGGGTGCTGACTGGGTGGGTCGGACGTCCAAGGCTGTGGGATGCAGGCTTGCGAAAAAGTCGAAACGGGGCATTAAGGATAAAAAGGCGCAGGGTGGTAAAAAAGATTGTATGTGAAGGGGTGCAAAAGAGCGACTGAAAAGCTATAACATGTCAAACGACGAAAAGAGTGGCGGCCCGTAGGCGATTAAAGAGAGTGGGCGGTTGGAGGAGAGGGAGGGAGAGGGAGAGGAAGAGGGAGAGGAAAGCGAGCGACGGTGGGCGGAGAAGAGGAAGCGGAACAGAAGCAAGGGAAGGACGGACGTTGACAGGTTGGCAGCAGCTCGGCCTAAAGAGGGTTCGTGGCTGGATATGCAGATGCAGGTTCGCGGGCTACAGTAGGATCCAGTTGGCAGCCGCTCCGCCCAGTAGCCGGTGCAGGTGCAGGTGCAGGTGCAGGCGGTCAGGCTCAGGCACAGGCACAAGTACTTAACGCGTGCACAAGCAGCAAGCAGAGCAGCACACGGTCCAGCGGCAGCCCGTCGACGGTTTGGCCCTGAGCGACAACAGGCACGAGGCTGTCGTTGCGCGCGGATGCACTGTATGCACTGGCGACGATGCGACGTGAGGCTAGACGCGCAGTCTGCTGGCCGCCCCGATGCTCTCCAGGAACCCTCGTCCGGGCAGCCTCTCCACGCAAGTATGGGCGGGCAAAGGCGCAACGCGACAACGCGAGTCGGCGGGCGAAATTGATTGTAATTACAGCCGACGCAGCCAGTGACGACGGACGCGAGGGCGCTGCAGGGGGGAGGGATGCGCCGGGGGTTTCAAGCGGATGGATCCAAGCCAGGAGTGGGAGAGTCGAGCCAGTCGAGCCAGTCCAAGTCGAGAGTCGGGCCGGCCGGTGGTGGAGGTGGAAGCAAGCAAGGACAAGTAAGGACAGGAATAAAGTGGGGAGTCGGTCGAGGATTATCGATAAACGAACAGTGGCTGCGAAGACAGCGAACCGGTTCAACCGCTCTCGCGATATTGCGACAACGCGGGGGGGGACGATTACCACCAGGCCATATAAGTACAGCTCCCGCACACCACGACACCGACCTGTTCGCAGGGGGGCGATAGCGTGTTTGACCGTTGGCGCTGTGCTGCTGTTCAGCGCCTTCTTTTTCGTCGCAGTCCTCTCCACTGTGCCATGCCACCACCACCTACACGCTGGCGCGAGGGTTTCAGCGCTCTCCACGCCGTCTATCAACGACACGTCAAGGGCGGTAAGTGGCGATCCATTGGCCTGTGAGCCTCCCTTTGTCTTTGCCATGTGCATGCCCTCTTCTTGACGCCTGCCCCGGCCCCCGTCCGCCTGTCCTTCGTTTCCAGCTTTGCAAACGCATCCAAACATGGCCCTCGCCTCTAACCCGCCGTCAGTCCACCAGCCGCCCGTCCTCTCCGCCAGTGCTGCAGCGCTTCTGTCGGTATGTTTCATCCTCGCGCACCCACCACCACCACTGCCGCCTGCATACGCTGCACACGCTGCACACGGCTCCCGCACTAAAAATATCCCACTGACACTGACGCCTGTATCTTCTTTCCCAGGCTGCCTATGTCTTCATCTACGTAATCCCCTTCTACCTCTCCTCCGCCACCAGACCCTCCGTCTCCCTCTCGCGCGATGCTCCCTCGTCCATCCGCGCCCGAGTCCGCGCCGTGACCTTTTCCACGCTTCTGTGCACCCTCATCACAGTGGTCCTGCTCTACCGCCATCATGTCGCCATCTCGCAGATCCTCGCTCTCCTTGGCCTGTGGCCTGTGTCGCCCATGGACACCATCCGCACCATGCTTCTAGTCGTCATTCTCTTTGCAGGCCCTCTGTTCGAGAACGGCATAGTCGACGGTGATTGGCGAGACTGGATACAGCTGAATGGCCTGCACCAGTCATTGAGCAGCTGGATCGGGTACAGGAACTTTGTCGTTGTACGTCCCCACAGAGTACCGTACATCTCCCTTCAGCCCGCCTAACTTCACCAGGGACCCGTCAGCGAAGAGCTAGTTTGGCGTTCCCTTATCGTGCCCCTCCACCTCCTAGCCCGCTTCTCCGGCAAGCACATCGTCTTCCTGACCCCACTCTACTTTGGCATTGCCCACGTCCACCACCTGTACGAGTTCCGCATCACCCACGCCCACGTCCCCCTCGCCTTAGCAATCGCCCGCTCCCTCTTCCAGTTTACATACACCTCGCTCTTCGGCTTCTTCGCCGCTTTTGTCTTTGTGCGCACCGGCAATGTCTACTCGTGTGTCTTGGCCCATGCTTTTTGCAATTGGATGGGACTGCCGCGCTTCTGGGGTCGCGTTGGGGTCGAGGCCGGTGTGCCCATCGGTCCCCCAGACGTCGCCAAGAAGGACCATGGCGATTCCAGGACCGCACCTGCATATCAGGGAAAAGGCATCGCATGGACTGTTGCATACTACCTCATCTTGGTAGCTGGAGCCGTGGGCTTCTACTACCAGTTATTCCCCCTCACCGAGAGCAACCATGCTCTGCCTGTGACACTGACCAGGACATGATGGTTTCATATTGCTTCTCCCGAGAATCCTCACCTGCGTCGCGCAATGGCCCACCAGTTGTCCTTTTCGTATCCGGACTCGAGCACAACTCCGCCCGCCTGCTCAATATCGTTTTCAAGCTCGCCTTTGCGATACAAATGATAGTACCTCAAAAACGTCTTGTCTCCTTCGGCTGTCCTCCCCTTCTCTTCGCTCCCGTTCTCTTGCATCCCATTGTCCTTGTTCTTTTTCCGCTTTGCCTCCTTCTCCTTCTTCTGCTTCAGCACCCATGGCACCATGACATCCTGCTCGTGGCCTTCATCCCAACCGCGTCGGCTATCTTTCTGCTCAAGTGCCCATACGTAGATGAGTGCCCTTCCTCCAGTTGTGCTCGTGTCAGCAGTTCCGTTTCCATGGCTAGAATCCTCGTGACCTGACTTCGACGGCGGTTGCAGGAGATCCAAAACACTTTTGACGGCCTCTACTCTCCGCTCTAGCGTAGACAAGTGGTGCACAACGGCAATGGATATGGCAAAGTCGAAAATGCCCCCTGGATGCGGGAGTGCAAGGTTATCCGCCACGACTACATCGTGCGGTTCATGCCGTCTTGCAATCTTGACCAAATTCGTAGACCTAAAGCGAGTTGATGTGAGGTTCAGAACAGTACAGAACAGTGCAGAACAGTGCAGGAACAAACAAAAGCCTGGGCATGTCCCTTTTTCAACAAACACAACCTCAAATATGAAAAAGCAACACTCCCCAAACAAACACCCAAACAAATGACGTACATAGCAACTGGAAGCCATTCCGTTGATGTTGTTTTTTTCGGACAGAATAGGAAGGACAGGGAAAGAAAAAAGAAGAAGAGAAGAGAAACTTACCGATCACTCCCCACAATCCACACTTTATCATTCACACCAAGATACTTGCCATTACCGCACCCTACATCCGCCCCAACCGCCCCGTCGCGCTGTTCGCGTAGAAATCGATCTACAATCGGCCAGGGCTGCATATTGGGAATTACATTAGCGATACGTGAATGAAATAAATAAATCAATATTCAATATCGTTCTTTTTTTTGGACAGGAAGGAGGGAAGGAGGGTTTTGAATCAATACCCTTATCGACTTTTTTCTCTATTTTTACTTTTTTTGTCCCCCACGACCACATATGGGAAGAATGTAGATTAGATAGATGAAATGAACGATATAGGCAAAAAAAAGAGGAATGAAGAGGGAAAGGAGGGGGGGGGGCCAGAAAAGAGGAAACAGACCTTATACCGCGTAGAAGAAAAGTGCTCGGCGATTTCTTCGTAGACGGCGTGGACGTGGGTTGCTTCGTAGGATTGGGGTGGTTCGTCTTGTGATGCCATTTGTGCTAAAAGTCTTTTCTTTTTACAGAAAACTTTAAGTGATGGAAGTAAAGAAGGGAAAAAGGGTTGTTGGGAAGTATAAGTAAGCGTAAAAGTTAGTTAAAGTGAACTGTGATGATGCAAGAAAGCAAGAGAACAAGAAAAAAAAAAGAGCCAATGAGGGGGGGGGGGGTTGAATTTAGGATGCCAAGAGGGCTACCAAAAAAAACGACATCCTTTCTGCCTCTTTTCAAAAGGTTCCACAAAGATATCAAGTCTTGGAACGAAGCAAGAAAAAAAAGCAAGGACAATGTTTGATATAGTAAACGAAATGTTCAATTATTCATCTCGCCATCTTAACTACTGCTACTACTACTGTTACTACTCATCAAAACACTGACAATCCCCCACCCCGCCTCCAACCCTCCACCTACTAACCATACTCGCACATCTCCACGCCACATCCCTACCCGAACACTGAAACACCAAACTCCACACGCGCTCAACCGTATACCCAAAGTCCGGGGCGCTCATCTCATCCGGCCTGCCTTTTAGAAACTTGTCTGAATGCGCCCAGCTCGTCTCGTCCACGAGCGCACGCCACATATCCTCGTACAGCCCCTTATCTACACCACGGATTCTAGCGGCGGAAACGGCGAATTGGCCTTTGTAGCTGAGCAGCACGTGGTTACATACAGCGTTGGCGCCATAGATCTTAGCGTAGGTTTGTGGGATGTATTGGATCGAGTCGGACCAGAAGAGGCGGTCGGAGCACGAGTGGCAGTTGCAGAGCGTGCCGACCCATGCGAGGTCTAGGAAGCCGGTGCGGGAGCGGAGAAAGTAGTTGTTAATCCTCGTATAAAATTCGCGCGGGTTGTGGATTTCGGCTTGCAGGAAGAGGGTTTGTTGCGCCAGTGTGTCCCACCGGCGGAGAATGTGGTTGAGGTAGGTTTCGCCTTCGCGGCCGATGTTGGGTAAGGGTATGACCTGGTTTGCGCCGAGTTGAGATTGGATGTGCGAAGGGGATGCATTGCTGTCTTTGAGGTAGATTGTTATTTGGGCGTCGGAGAGGGCGGGAATGTGTTTAAGGTTGCGGAGGAGAGTGGCGATGCCGTCGAGGGGTTCTTTGTACATGCTTATTACTATTTCCATGGGCATTTGGGGGACGTAGTTTCGATCGAGAGCGACGGGCATGCGTGGCTCGGGTCGTTCTGTGAAATTTAGCATACCATATGCTATCCAAAGAGAGGCGATGCTGATGCCGAGAAGATATCTTGGGAGCGGCTTGGTGGGTAGGCTTAAACTCATTGAAGACGATCTCATACGTCCATATGTGTTGTAGGCGAACCGTGTATTGGGCAGTCGAGCAGGGATCACACGAGACCACGCCCAGCTGCCAATGCATGTTATGGCAAGCCAAAAGCAGCAAAACTGGTATATGTTCGTGTACGAGCGGCGGGTCAACAGCGTCGAGTAGCATCCTGCAATGCCAGCGAAAATAGCAAGAGTCAAAGCGTCAAAGATGTGATATACTGGGGCATCAATAGTATGGAGAGACGTGCTGGCTACTTCGTCGTCGACAGGCAGCACCATTGATTTTCCCAGCTTCATCGCCATGGCGGTAGACACGGCGTTGATGCTGAGGAGCAGCCCGTTTCCGGCTCCAAAGGCGAAAATGTGGCCGTTCAGACCAAAGATTATTGCCGACAGTGCGCCTACTAGCGCTCCTGCGATGACATGCAAGCTCGCCTGATTCACATTGTTGGCAAGGACGTCTGGTTGATGCATAATGGCAGTCTTCCAGAGGCTCCGTGCCGCTCCCGCAAACACCATGGCCAAGATGCCCATTACCAGACCGGGCACAGTGATTCGATATTCTGTCAACAAAAGACCAACGCTCGCTAGCAATAGTACACACGTGGGAAGCATGTCTGCGTACGTGACAGAAACCGAGCGGAGAGCACGGCGCACCACGTCTTCAGCAAATATGGCTATAGGCTATTTTGGTGTCAGTCATTTTTTGCGAGGGGGACCAATTTGTCCAGATATATGTATGTGAAGTCTTACTGTAATCATGACCAAGACGGGGAGATTATAAAAATGTAAGACTGCCTGCAACAGACACATGGTGGACAGATACGTGAAGCACACGGAGGCAGTAATGAGCGTCGTTCCTCTGTTCCTCGATCTCCATGGCCGCAGCTTTCGACGAAATGGCCGTTGGATAATTCCCCACCCAAAAAACGGCCGCAGGGCCAGGAAGCTCGTGAAGGCTAGCTGGTTGAAGTAGAGGCGCTGCGGATAGTGCATGTTGCGCTCTACGAGCAAGTGTCGTGTGCTGAGTAGCGATACACTGACGCAGACCATCCACATCAGATGGCGCTGGATACGAGCATTGTCATGTGTGGCATTGAGGCGTCCACTCATAGACTCGGCGCGCACCTTCCTTACGTACGCATCTGGTATCATGGCCATCTGGAGAAGAGGTACAGGCGCCGGCGAACGGGGAGGGAGTGGTTGCTACGACGAAGCAACGATTGCGACCGTTGTGTGGAAGTCATCCGAGATTAGGGATTGAGCGTCGTCTTTGCTTCTTCAGCGCATCGGCCCGGCGCGTAGTCGAGGTAGCCGGATTGGCGTGGATACGCGTGATGCGATGGCAATGTGGAGGCGACGACGGCGTGGATTGGGCGTGAGGGTACATTTGTCTTCATCTTGTCTCCAACGCTCGACGCGTGCGTTTTCTGCATGGCTCACCTCAATCTGGCAAACTGGGCTGCCCCACTTGCACTTATGCTTTGAGCCGTGCGCACCCCGCCAACGTCAGACATTACTTTACGGACTTGGCTATGCAACACCCATGTGCAAGCCTCTTGGACAGAACTATTGTGGAGAACTAGGACTTGGGATTCGGGATAGAAAGTGACTCCCTTTCACGTTTAAACCAATCATTATCGCTATGCAAAAACAACATGCTCACATGCCCCTTCCCCATTAAACACCTTGTACCTTGCGGTAACTCGGCGGCTTCAACGTCCTCCTCAGCAGCTTGACCGCATACGGCGGCAACAAACTAATTGCTGCAATGACCGCAAACCTCCACCAAAACGCCATGCTGCCCACATACGCGAGATCAAAATACTCGTCCAGGAACGGCACAGAGCCAAAGTAGATACCTGCTGTTCCCACAATGCTCGCAATCATGATCCAATGCCACGTTGTGACTTCCATTGCCACCATGATCAATTCGTTGACAATAAGCACCGAGAAGGAGACAGATACCATCTTGAGAAACGTTGGATCCGGAGTCTCACCTGCGCCTGTCGCGTGCCCCACACCAATAAGAAGCTGACTGCAACCCTGAATAATGGAGCCTTGGTAGATGGACACGGCGACCCAGATGAAGAACGACTTGTACGACAGCGACCGCCCTGTCTTGAGTTCGGCATACAGCTCGGGATACAAGTTGGCAACGCTCTCGTCCACATCGCGGTCCAGAACAAGAGAAAAGACCGGCATCATTGTGTAGATTGTCGAATAGCCGACCAAGAGCCAGTCCTTGTACAAAGCATTGGGCTCAAAGCTGGTGGCAATCGAAAAGACTGTTTGGCAGATGGAAATGATCAACCCGCGATGAATGACAAACTGAGAGAGTTTGGCAGAGCGTTTATACGAGTTGCGGCCGTGCCAGACGAGCAGTTTGACCAGATAGCAGAATTGCTCAATCGAAAAGTCGGCGGCGAGGGAGGCCTGGCGACCTTCTTTGCCTACGATGCCAACACCAACATCTGCAGCTTGGATCATGGATACGTCGTTGCCCCCGTCGCCGATACAGCATACACGCTTCTTGGTGAACTCGCGAATCAGGCGCGCGACGTCTGCTTTCTGCGTGGGAGAGCATCGACATGCGACGACAGTGGGAAGTTGCACAGCCACACTTATGAATTCCTGGCGAAAGTGTTGCAGAAAGAGAGCAAGTGACTCACCGTCGATAAGTAGACAGGAATCGAGCTTCCCACGGAGAAAGTCAAGAGACGAGGATGCAAGGTCTTTGCGTTTCAGCTTGGCAATTGTGTGCACATATTGCCCACGGGCTACCAGTTTGGAGCTGACAGCTACGCAACGCGCCGTTTCGACCTTGTCGCCAGTCAACATCCAGATCTTGATACCCGCGTTACGAAGGAGCTCGAGAGAAGGTTTGACATCCTTTTGTAGTTTGTCTTCCACACCTGTGACGCCAAGGAGTTCTAGGTCATGCTCGAGGTATTCTTTGACAACACCAGCAACGGAAGCATCACGGTTGCTGAGGGCCAGAGAAGCCTGTGCGTACTTGTTGGTGAAGTCCTGGTATGTTTGAGACGACAGCTTTTTGCGGCCCACAACTAGAGTGCGGAGTCCTTCACGGGCCATGTTTGCCGTCTCTTCATCTAACCAGTCGTTGGCGGCGACAATCGACGTCATGACGGTATCCGCGCCCTTTTGGTAGAACCAGATCTCGCCATCCTCATCAGTCGGTGAGGTTGCAGGTCCATGGTAGAACTTTACGACGATGCCCATGCGCTTACCCTCCGATGTGAACGGGAAAACATTCAGGATACGGACCTTTACGACTTGTTTTCCGCTATCACATGAAAGGAGAGTCATGGACTCGCGGTCTCGAGAAAGTAGCTTCAAACCGACGGCCTCGGTCCAACGCACAATAGCGATTTCGTCCGGAGATGATGCTTGGTAGGTGGTCACTTCTTCGCCATTCTCTTCCTCTGTCGTTGGTGTGACGTTATGGCAGAGGGCCAGCGCCAGCACAACGTCGCGAACTCGTGATCCAATTTCCCTGCGAGTACGTGTGGTGGAAGTAAGAGGGGCAGTGTAGGTAGACGAGGGTGTGACGAGCGAGGGAGCTTCTCCTGCGGGAGGCGTGAAACACTGGCGCACGTAAGACGATACCTCGTCCATAGCCTCGTTTGCATAAGAGACGGTACCGACATGGATCTTCTTCATGATCATCTCTGTAGTCCGTTAGCCATGTCAAGTTACAGGAACCGGGGTGCTGTACCGTTCTGTGTCAGAGTTCCCGTTTTGTCGCTCAAAAGATATTCTATCCGCCCCAAATCCTCGGGAATGGTACTAGTGCGGACAATCGTTCCTTTGATGCTTTCGTCGTGCTGAATAAACCACGCATACACTGACTTCCCCATGTCGAGATTGACACGTAAACCCACAGGGACGATGGTCGAGAACAGAATGAGAAACCGCAGCATGGAGGCCCACCATTGCCGGCCTTGGATTTCTTGAAACCGTGCGAGCGCCACGAGGATGAAGGATAGCGAGAGCGTAAAGATACATAGCCATTTCGTTAGCGAGTTGATCTCCAGTTCCAGTAGACCAGTTTTGGATCTTGAAGGTGAAGTCGAAAGCGCTTGACGTGTCTGGGGTCCAGTGTATACCACCACTGCGAGAAGACTGCAGCTCGATGCCACAACTGTATTCGCCCAGATGGTGTTATCAATGCTTAGAGGAGCTGACTGTGCCTCTTCAGATGAGGAAGGCTGTTCACTGTCGTGCGGATCGTAGTGCCGCTGGCTCTTGGGCAGAAGCTCCACAGTTCCATAAAACTCGTTGACCTTTTTGTCTGGTTTACCAGCGACAACTCGAAGTCGAGTATACTCTCCGACATCTAGATTCTGTGTCAGTGGGGACGTAAGTCGCAGTTTCCAATCAGTTTCACCGTCCAATTGATCGGTTCTGATAAAGGCTTCACCTGAAGACCCGCTCGTTGCGACGCTGTCAGCCCTTGCCGTATCCACAGGCTCCTCACTATCGATCAACGGGACCAGTGGGCTTTGTGCACTTGCGCCAGCTGGGGTAGCAGCACTCATATCGGTGGAATGGCTCTTCAAAAGCACCATATCAGCAGGTACTCTTTGGTCCTTTCCAAGTTTGACCACATCTCCGACTTTGAGGCTCCTGGAAGGTTTTGTAACCTCCCAGTAGGTGCAGGTTGCCAGTCCCTTGCCCGAGAGCCGCTGTTCCTCATCTTCAATCTCTGAAAAACGACCTTCATTTCTGTTCTGTTTCCTCAGACGCTTCTGTCTTTGTGAATTTCTGCCTGGGGCAACGCCAGTTCCTTTGCTGTTCTCTTCGAACTTGAGTACTGTGTATCCCTCAGAATTAGCTTCTGCATCTCTTCGCCGTCGGGCGATATCATCCATAGCCTCCTTTCCCAAAGTTATGGTTATGACAAAGGCTAGTGGGGCAACGTAGGTCGAAAGGTAACCAATTCGCAATACGGGTATGACTTGCGACAGCGCAATAAGCAAGAAATACATGTTGATGAAGAAGGAGAACTCATTGTACAAAGTACGCGGAAGAAAACTCCAGGGCGTGTACTTTGCATTCGAAACTGCATTTGCCGGGAATCTTGATGTTTGAAGCTGGCCGACAGAAATGGTTCGCTGCGTGGTTGGATCATGCTCCTCTTCAGCATCTTCCTCGCCATCCTCGCCGAGCTTTATAGCAGCGCTGCTATTCCGCGAAAGGAAGCTCGGTATTCGCATGCTCGACCCTAATCTTGACATGGTACTTTGTGGTGGTTGGTGTCTTTGGGCAGTTCGCTGCGCTGGTAGCAAGGGCGAGTCATCCTCCCCAGACTGACCATAACTACCGGCCGAGTCCCTCTTCGGCCCTTCATCGTCGTCCAATAGGCCCCTCAAGTCGTCCTCTTCAGCCTCCTGCTTCTTCTTACTTGCTCGTAGTCTGCCTACTCTCAAGTTCCTCAGCGGTATCCTTGCGCCCAGCTCGTGGTATGGCCTCCTCTTGTCTTTGGAATTACGTGGCGGCGGTGTGGCGGCTGCCTGTGAGCGAGATGCTAGAGGGTCCAACTCCTCCAAGTCTAGTTCAAGGTCGGAGTCCTCGTCTGGCGCATTCGGTTGATGGTACTGGTGTGGAGCAGCCATGGCTCATGGGCAGGCGACAATGGCGCAATGGCGTGTGAGAAGAAGATGTGCTCTCTAGCAACCTCATGCGCGGTCGGTTTGGGGGAAGGGAGTGGTTATGGCTATGGTGGCTGCCTTCGGGGGTCCGCGGTGTTTCGGGGGTGTCTGGATATGACGCCCAGGCGTTCAGACTTCTCGTTTCGGGCGCGGACGAATGTTTCGACGATGATGATAGAGTCTGGTGGTTGGTCGTTACTTATAGGAGTATCCGGTGTGTGTTGTAGGATATGTTAATTGTGAATAGTGTCGTGCATGCATCTGGCACGAGGCGCGGCACGATGGAACAAGTGTGGCGCAGGTACGTAGGGTGGCTTAAGGCCAGGGTTGCAGCGGCGGGCCGTTTCCAATGTCCAAAGGCGTGAACAGCTGTCCAGATTACTC